AAATAAAGTTATCTTATTGTGTAACGTAATGGCTTTATTATATGATAAAATGTTGTAGTTTTTTTTATTTGAGAAATGTATACCTATAACATATGGTGGGTTGTGTTAAAGATACATTTTTATGAAGCACACATAATTCCACAGCAATAAATCACCATTATTTGGAGTTTATCTAGTTATGAATCACTGTTTTAGCTTTTACTATCGGAGGTAAAATGATTCAGAACATTCTAAGAAATTTTGTTCTTTTCCTCTGTATTGGTCATTTATAATTTTCATGAGTGTGCATGTCGTCAATTTTGATTACTATGAAAAATAAATATTGAGTTATAATGTGAATTTTATTGTATTTTATTTTAAAATAATACACACGAACGTATTGATCACAGCAGTAGGTCGATATGACATTACTGCTGATTTTAGTTGTGACTGCTATGTTGCAAGTGTGCTTTTAGCGGGGGCCTAACTAGTTTCCTGTGTTGGACATAAACGCCCAATGACGTCACAACTTCAATGTTTTCTTGTTACTAACTGCACAATTACACTGACAAAATCTGAAAAAGATTTGTTTGGGGGTGGACAAGTTTTGGTGTTTTGAAATCACTCTATAAATATAAATATGAAGTAACGAAATAACTCGTTGTATACGCCCAGCAGTGACGCCCAGTATGACACCGGACGCATGAATACTTTGACGTTTAAAGCATTGCCTATAAAATAGGCTGAGAATCGACGCACAGTGAGGCATTATAGATATTGGATAAAGTTTACATAGTTATGCAATTTATAGTCTATGCGTATAACAATATTTATTTATTTATTTATATAGTTAAAAAATAATATGGAACTTATTACCACTATCATAGGACCCTGTCATGTATAAGTTATGCACAATGCGCTATTTTTAACTTGCTTTTCTTAAGTTTACAATATCTGGAAATTTAAAAATATACCTTGTTATTCATTTTTTTTACAATTGGTCCAACACTAGATTCTTTCAAATTACGTAACATGGAAAAATATATTACTGTTGATAAAAACTACTATAGTGCTAAAAAACATAAATAATGTTTAGCATAAATAGACGTTTTTTTCGTTATTTTATATGTATTGTGATAACCCAAACATCCCGCCCTAAATTGACATGTGAACAAGTTTCTAAAAGTCCGCCAAAAAATCCAAAGATTCAAAAATTTGGCTGCGATCGTCTAACAAAATGGAACCTGGAATGAAATCAAATTAAACGTTCTGAATCAAGCAAATATTTGAATATCACAAATTTAATAAAAACAAAGAAAAATCTGAATTAAAGTAACTGTCATTACGGACGTGTGGCGGCACATTTAAAATTATGGCAGTCAACAAGAGAATAAGATTTTAATAAAACTCTATGTAGCGGCAGCAGCTCCAGAGCGCCTCCTGGTGAATGCTTATGACTCCAAAAGTTGAGGCCGCACCCGGGTCGCTATAAGAGTGTGGCGATCAAATTATATCAATTTCATTCTAGAACACAGCAAAACTACCCATAGGGGGTGGTGTAGCACGAGCGGAGTTTGGGGATCCTGCTGATTTCTATTCAAGACCTGCGTCTTTTGTGCAGATGGCAGGACCATCAGCTCGACAAGGAACCGCGCACTCCGCTTCCGCCATATGTTTCTTAATTCCATTTAAATGTTCAATTTCTATGACTCGAATATTAAACTACAACCGAACAAGTTTTAAAGTTGCAAAAAGAGCAATAAATAACATTTAAATTCGCCATACACTCTCGTGAAATTTGAAACAGCAAAGAATTCTTATCTGAGATTAAGATTGGACATCAGACAATTTATGATGGAAACATTAATCAACAAAATATTTACATGGTAAAAATACCGTGATTTGGTCATTCATGAAACATCGTTCGAGGCCCACATTAGAGATATAATCAACAGATTTGTTCAGACTGGCAATATCGACAAAGGAAAACCTTCAGTATTGTTGATAATTGGAGATGACTTGAGCAAAATTCGCAAACATCTTTGACAAGGTTTCCTCAGCACTCAGGAGTTCCTGCTGCAACATGAAATTGAACAATGGGTCCAAAATATTGACGAAAGGGTGTTACAGAACATTTTTTAAATTAAAAAAAGAGAGTGAACATGTGACGTTTAGTAAGGTCCAAAAGTGAGGCGCGACACGTTTCCATGACCTACTTCGACCTTATAATCATCTACATAAACCGTGTAAAATACTCTGGTAGTCAAAATTCATTACTACAAATAGCATAAGACAATTATAAACTTCTTTTGACAGTTTGATCTTCTAGCCATAACAGTGTGAAAAGAGTTCAAGTTTCGGTAGTACTTCTTATAATGGAGAACAGTTAGTAAACAACATTTATTCATTTTTCGATTCTAGTAAAGTGTGATGTGTTTTTTCAGAATATGAAATGTGTCTTATGGTTACTTTGGATTTATGTGGTTACCTTTGATATATACTACGAGAAAACCGTAACATAGTTAATCACACGTTGCTGATGTTAACTTCGGATTTGAATTTGGATACGTATTTCGAAAAAAAACCTTCAAAATTCAAGACTAATTTCAACTGACAAAAAAAAAACTTAGCTGAAATAATTATTGATTAATCTTGATTAATTTGGTTTTTTTTTCAAATTCAAATTTATTGTTCAAATGCTATTTGACCCCGCTGTTTTTTTTTCAGCGCGAAGTTTTAATTCAAATCTGGTCATCACAGTATACTACGAGATTCAATTTGTTATTCGCACCAGTGTTACTGAAGAAGCACTACAAAGTAAAATATTGTAGCACATCAATTTTCGATTTAAAACTCCAAGGTTGCTTTGAAACAAAAGATAAACATCATTGTAAAGGCTTTCAGAAAATGGCCAGCAACTTTTCTAATGGAATAATACCTACTGTAGTGTCCTGAATTTGAAATTTAATTTATTTGTTTTCTATGCGACGTAATTAAATGTTGCTTGCTTCATTGCTTGTAATTGTAATACTCATTCACATATTGTTATAAATTCGAGAAAGGTAGGATTTGAATTTTAATTAAAATAAGGGCACAATATCGCGTGGCGAAAGCGTAACACACGGCTTTAACTCAAAGTTGGTTTTTACGTACCCTAGCAGATGCTAAATTGAAAACTTAAGGGGAAGCCCCGCATTCGTATTAAAGGCGCAGCTTGGTTAAAAAGTCGGCAGTTTTGCGAAGACGAGGGTAGAGTGTAATATGCAGCAGGTTTTTTGGGTAACAGACTACGATAAGGAACTTGACTCTGGTTACAACGTCCTCTGCGGCATTTTACTAATTTCTCGTCGGCCACAATTTAAATTTTCAACCACATCATCGTAACAACTTGTGTATTCACATCCAGTTACTTTAATATCGATTTTTCCTGGGTGTATTTAAATTTTGGAAATTCAATTCACATACATTTCTTTTGATTCGTAACTTTTGGTTGCATTTTTGAAAGTTGGAGAGGGTTTTGCAGCTCGGATATAAATTTTTAAATAGTTTATTTCACAGTTTTTCTCCCTCAACAATGAAAAAATAAACAATTTGTCCTGTACATTTTGCATTTTGATTTACGCAAAAGAAACTCACACAATGTACGCCAAATTTTGAATTTTTGGCGGGTTTTTATAAACTTGATGGGTAAAACTCTATAATATATTTCTCAGTAAGTCAAATTTACACGACTCATTACACGGTGATTATGTACAAAATAGTTCCGGCGCAATCTGACTGGATTCTTTCGTTGACTGACTTCGTTTCTACGGCGGCCTCTATTTAAACACATTTCCCTTCTAGATGTTCCGCGATCGAGGTTTTTCTGGAGTACCCATCGCGACTTCCGCTTCCCAGCTTTTCTTTAGCGAACGCTGCCCAGCCGCCGTCACCGACGATGAGTCACCCATCATCGACGCACATACTAGAAAGCCCTGGAGAAAACCCACAGGTGTCGTACCGGAGCGGCGTATGGATTTAATTTGTAACAATATTTTTTAAATGTATCTGAGATATTTGTTCTTATCTTTATACAGTTGTACTCAAAAATTAAAATATAAAAAGTAACTGATATTTTTGTTATCATGGAAAATATAGTTTAAATGCAACAGTGTTTACTGTTGTCAAACAAATATTACAAAAAAAAGTTGAGAGCATAGTTGTCCCCTATTTAAAACCAACCCCTTGAATACCTATTCTTAGAAAAATTTCTTAATTTGAAAGTTGATATTTTTTGGGGCGATTTTCAAATTTTCCACATTTGTAAATCGTACAAAATGCAATTTCTTTTTTCTCTAATAAGGTCACATGACGAAGATAGAAATGCGCAGTTTAAGTACTTAGGTTAGATGTTAAATCACACGACTTCAATTTAGAGTTTTATTTCAAAAAATTGGTTGAAGGTTATTTAGACAGGACTTTCCTTTTGGTTGCGCGAAATTTTATTTATTTTATGGTATGTAAGTAAAAACATACCAGTCACAATGTAAGACAAAAAGTGACCCATGACTCCCATGACGAGATCGAATCGGTGACCTTCGTGTTACTGGCAGGACGCAGGACGCCGGATAGAACGTATTACAATACTTCCTTATTAGATTATGCGCGGAAAGTAAAAATGTACAGGGGTATTAAAATAAAATATATCATAAAATAGTCATTTTGTGTTATGTAATGTTACGTAAATACAAATAAATTTTCTCGAATAATAATATGAAATTAAAATTATACAGTAAGTTTAGTAGGTAAGTAATTGTAACGGCATGAAAGCTATATATAAAGTAAAATTTGTTATGTTATCGACAAAAATGTACTAAATTTCAGTTTTATTTACACGCCATTTACGATTTGGTTAGTTGTTAAACATATTCAGTTCTTTTGTTGTATAATATACCATTTGTATGTACTAGACTAGAAGACATCTACTGTTAATTTCTATGTACACAAATATTTTCTTGACTATTTACATGCAAAATGCAGTCTTTGTACACAGAATGTAATAAATTTAGTTTCACAAAAAAATATCAAATGTTTTATTTACTTTACCCGACGTTGAAGTCCTAACCAAAAGCCTTTTTCAGCCGCCATATTTATGGCTTTCCTATTAAAACGAATTGGAATTTGTGTTTTCTCAACTGGAATTAATTCAAAATTGGAGATAATGTGGTAAAAGAGAAGCTTAGTTTCCATTAACGCGAATCTCGACCCAATGCAATTACGTGGTCCCAATCCAAACGGAAAGAATGTGTACGGTTTGATCTTGTTTTTGTTCTCGTCACTGAAGCGTTCGGGATCGAATCGTTCTGGCTCTGGATAGTATTGTGGATCTCGTTGAATTGGGTACATCGGTAGAGATATTACGTCACCTTTGTCTAAATGAACAGGTTTCTCATTTGGTGTTTTTGGCTCGATGGTGTAGGGTTTAGTGCAGATTCTGTCAGTGGCTATAGCATTTGGCCATTTTCTTAACGTTTCTATGAATCATAGATTAACAAAAATAGATTAATAATGATAACGATACTAACCTGATACTACCATATCCATGTATTTCATTGTTGTTAATGCTTCGTACGTAATTTTTCCGTTACATTTTTCATTCGTGGCGTCTACTTCGTCCCTAAGCTTCTGTTGTATTTCTTGATTGATGCCTAATTCGTAAGCCATAAAGCACATGAGCGAAGAGACAGAATCGAATCCAGCAAAGAAGAATACAAAAGCTTGAGCAGTAATGTCGTCGTCTGTTATATCACTCTTTCTCAATTTTTGGTTTTTACCAACTTCTGATTCTTCCACCGTAGCAAAGCCAGTATCCGGTAAAGTAGTGTGGTCGTCTTCGCTATGTTTATTTTTTCTTGCTTCAAGCATCAATCCAATCATATCAGGTCGTTTGGCACCGTATTTTTCTCTGCTTTCAATATTTTCTTTGATTATTCTTCCAAAAAAACTCGTCATTTTATCAGAGAAAAAACTCACTTTGAATAACTATAATTAAATTATTGTGTAAGAACTTATCCAGGTAAAAACTATACTTACCTTTAGTAATTTGGGCAGGAGGATGTACCCCATAAACACGAGAATTGTCCGTATATTTGTAAAATCCGTAGCAAATTTTCCCATTGTATAAAACTCATTATTGTGTTCTTTTAGAGAATCACATTCAAATCCAAACACAGTATTAGCAATAACGTCATTTGCAAACCTTGAAGTAACATCTCTCATTTCCACTTCGATTACGTCTTGATTTTTTTGAAGGAAATATTTTACAAATTGTTCTCCATTTTCTGACATTAAAGAAAACATACTCTTCATTTTACTACTGGTAAATGTTGGACTAAGAGTGGACCTCATCTCCCTCCACTGCATCCCATTAAGTGCAAATAAATTCCGACCAAACAGAGGGTCCGCATCTGGATCTATGAAACCTACATGGTCCAAGAAATGATCAAAATCTTTCACTGTGATTTGCTTGATGAGTTCTGGATCTCTTAACATAAGAGCTGGTCGAAGAAACTGGTATGTGCCAATGTACCTGGTTGTTATCGAAATAATGTTTTTGTTTGGTATAAATAATGGTACTTGCCTTGAACCTTCACCAGAATTATACATTTCTTGCGCCATTTCAGGAGCTGATCGTTTACGAGAAAGCATGGGCCACATGTTTCCCAAGATAAACATTGGTTTTAATTGTGGTACTCCTTTTCTAATCCAGTAAGCATGACGTCTATTCAGTATCCAGTATCCAAGTGCCGTTAGGACCGCAACGGCAAGTAATATCCACATTTTTAAAAAATTATGTAACACGATCCAAAAAGAAGACCGAAATTGTATACTTTATCTTCACCAAATCGCACATCCGTGGTGTCTAATGTTTATTTAAACAGTGACGAGTGTTGTCCTTGATGAGGCTTACTGATCACGTTGTAAACTTAAATGTGAACAGATTCGACGCGACAAAACATGCGTAATTAACAAAGGCAACTTCACTACAGTAAAAGTTGTTTAAGCGAATTTTTATCATACATTGTTTAGTACTTATATTTGTGATTAGGTACAAGTATTTTGTTTTGACTAAGTTTATCTGAACTGAAATTTCCAACTATACAGGTACTGACGGAATTTCGTACGATTAGGTTTTTTCTTATTAGACAGGGTAAGAGACGACTTTCACAGTTTTATTATCCATTCACGGTCTTTATATAGTAAAGTAGGCTTTGATATTTTTTCTTTAAGTTGGATAAACTGATTTGATGATTTAGTTTTTTGTCAGTCAGTAGTCTGATTGACATTTGCTTTGAGCTGGATTGCCACTTTTCTACTTCATTTATTAGATCAGAATTATTAGACATAATTTTTTAATCAAGCAAACAAATGTTTTAATTTTGTCAGCATAGATAATTTGTCATTGTGACAGATTCACAGATCATTGCGACATTATTTAAAAAGAAAATGCCTAAAAGAGTTTTACTGCAACAAAAAACTGCAATAAAAAGATATTTTTTGCAGTTTCGAAAAGACAGGCCCGATCTAAAAAAATACGATGTAAAAATACGCTGTAAAATATTTTTTAATTTTACAGACCTGCAACGATAAATTTAGCAACTTAATGAACGAATATTTCACTCTAGATACTCTTTTGGCATATTCTAGGGAACAGTTGGAATTTAAAGGGGGGCGAACCACATTATACAAAATTCTTAAGTCAATGGGTTATAAACACAGGGAAGCAAATGGTCGCAAAATTCTATGTGAACAAAAACATGTCGTTGCAGCTAAAATTACTTTTTTGAGAACATATTTACAGTTTCGAAATTCTTGTGAAAATTTGACTTTCGTGTATCAAAATGGTTCGTCCATTCGTCGCGAGGTGCACGATACTGACCTAAAAAGCAATCCCACCAAAATTAAAAGTGAAGGATCAAGGTTTATTATTCTCCAAACGGTTGTTCAACGGGATTCTTGGATGGTTGTAACAATTTTTTAAATTCAAAAAATAACGATAGAGACTATCATAAAACGATGGACGGGACAATTTTTCAAAATTGGGTGTTTAATCAGCTCATTCCTACTTTGGCAAAGTTGAACCAAAAATGTGTGGTGGTTTTAGACAATGCACCGTATCATTCGGTTCAGTTGGATAAACCACCCACTTTATCTAGTAAAAAATGTGAAATGCAGGAATGGCTCTTTAAACATAGTGTTGAATTTGACAAACAATTTTCGAAGAAACAGTTGTGGGATTTAATTAAACCCTTCAGAAACAATAGAAAAAAAAGATATTTGGTAGACGAGACATTAAGAGAAAGGGGCCATGAAGTTCTTAGATTACCTCCGTACCATTGTCAATATAATCCAATTGAAATGGCGTGGGGATTTTGTAAGAACTATTACAACAAGCATATAGATTCTCACCCTTCATTAAAAAATAGGGTGGAGAATTTATGGCTTGAGGCGCTTTCTAAATGTACTCCAAGCATGTGGCAAAATTTTTGTAAACATTGTGAAAAACTTATTTTGGCAGATTGGGAAAAAAATATGGGAAATCTTTCGTACGAACCTATACCTCTTTTCATTATTTCGATAGGTGTATCTGATTCAGAATCTGAATTTGAAAATGACGGTGATGATAAAGATTTTCATAGCGAAATAATGGAAATGGAGTGAATTGTAGCTTGTCGGGGGGTGATATTTTTACGCATCTTTCGTTCTAAATTTACCAAGGTAGTATGTGAAAAACTACCTGACGCACAACAAAATAAGTATAATTTTAGTTAGATCATCCACGTTGTTACTTTGCACCAAATGTTAAGCATTTTCATTTTTTTTTTGTAACTCTTCATGGACCTGAAGAAGGCGTATAGTAACGTGTTTATTAATGAGCGTTTGCAAGTACTTAGTAAAAGCAAATAAAGAGCACTTACGTAAGCATTAGTAATAGCTGTATAGTTAAATAATTCAATTTAAGGCCGAAAAAATGTTTCAGAAGAGCTAAACCCATCAAAGCACTAGAGCAAGGTTGTTGTCTTTTACCAACCGTTTTAGTAGTCTTAGAAAAGTGAAAAAAGAAGTTGGAAGACATTGGAAGCAGAACGAACTGAGAATTAAAGTTGAGATGCTAAATGTGGTATGCGACAATAGTCGTATATAGAACCCCCATTCATATAAAAACAATGTTTAAATGAAATTTTATTGTTTGTTTCTTACATATGAAATAAACACTTACAAAAAGCCGAAAACTGTTTTAAATAGCGTAAAGTTTTTTATGCTTTCTAAGAAATGGATACTGTTAACTTGGTCATTGCTACTGAAAACTGAAAGTATCGGCAACAATGTTTATTTTCTGGCATATTTTTTAACCTTTAATTTAATAAAACATAACCTAACGAAAAAAGTTCAGGGAATTTAACATGTACGACATAAGTCATAGCATTCATCATAAGAAAGAAAATATCAATTTAATCTTAAAAGTGGAGATTAAATAACCTTTTAAGGGCATAATGATAGAAAATTCCAGTATAATATCATTAACTGACAGCATGATATTTCAGCTTGACAAATATTAAAGTTGTAGTTAATGAATTGTAGTTCCGATGAGAAATGATACATTATATTGCTTTATACCTACAAACCAAATTTATAATTTCACCCCAAATTAGTTTTTAAAAATTGAGTTTGTGATATGAGGTCCCAAATTCATTAAGTTCAGGTCGTGCAAAAATCTTACTGATGATTTGTTCTTACCTTGGAAGTTTAGCTCTCAAACTTGTGAGAGTATGTTTAGAAGCCTTAGATCAATGACCTCAACTTTTAGCACAATTTTTAATTTTAGTATAAGAGATATGTTGCATCGAAGTGACAGACTGCAAACTATAAACAACATTAAAAAAAATTTGGATAAAAAATTCGTTTTTCCGAGAGAAATCAGGAAAAAAGTTCAATCATGAAGAGAGACTTTGTGAAAAATGATGACTTAGGAAACATTTCAGATAAAGATATACAAAGCACCGTAGAATCAGCTTTACGGGATTGTCTGCGTGACACTGAAGATTTAGGAATGAAAGTGATAGATTTCAACTATGTATTTTTGCCTCCGTGTAAAGACAATGAATGCAATGACGAAGTTGAAGATGAAATGTTTAGTGAAGAACAGTGCGATCACATTGAAAATTGCAACAATTCTCAAATAGCCATGAAACGTAACTGTTTTCAAAGTTTGGAAAACGATCCAGTTGACCAAGATGAAGATTTACTGGATGATCTTTGCACAATTTCGTACGAATCTAAGAAATTTGACAGAGACATACACCTGAGAAGTTTTGATAGTGACGATATTTTTGTTGAGAAAGGTGATCTAGTCAGAATACGCTTAGATAATACAACAAAAGTTATAAAAAAGTCTTCACTTTGCTGGCTGTTAGACAATGAAAAGGATCGCGTCAGTGTGGATCATCTCAAAAGATTTATTCAAAATAAGAAATGTAATAGTAGTAGAGTTAACTTAGAAACAGATACCTGTCTTCAACATAAAGATGCATTTCAAATTCAAAAACCAGTCCAAATTGGAAAAAAAAAGAATCTATAATATATCAAGTGACTTATCTGATTTAGACAACCCAAGTAGTATCAAATATGATGACAGCACGGACACCGAAAGTTTGAATTCTTCCAATTATTCCGATGATTTGAATCCTCGTTTGAATCTCAAGGCTGAAAATAGTAAGACTGATCGTTCTAAACCAGACTTAAATATAGACGATTATATTATAGTACAATTAACAACTCAAAAACAAAACAAAAAATGTTACATTGGGAAAGTGGTATCACTTAACCCTATTTTTTGTGATTTTTTGAAAAGGAATCCAAAAATTCCGTATGCTTTTATGTTTCCGGACATTAAAGATCAGGGGGAGATCCGAGAAAATGAATATATAATGAAACCACCTCCACCTCAGGTACTCAGAAGAGGCAGTTTAGTTTTTGAAAAAAAATTATTGAAAACATATTTCATTAATTCTAGGTTTTTTTTTAAGTGATGTGATTAAAATTTGTGATAATGTAAGCTCAACCTGGGTCGAGATTTGTACAAGTATATATCGTAGATAATACTAAAGTAAGAAACTGTGCAAAATTCTAGGGGCCCATGAACACTTTTAAAGGGGAAAATTACCTCTGAAAATTTATCAAGTGGGGTTATCCACTCCTTTATTGTGCAAAAAAAATTCTTACGTGTTAAATTTTGCATTTCAAAAGTTTTTTTCTAATATGCTTCATTTGAAAGTTGTGAACAAAAAATTAAAAGTGTTATCATCTGTATTTATGGGTAGCTAGAATTTAGCACAGTTTTTTACTTCAACATCATCTACAATATAATACACAAATCTCGACTCAGGTTATGGAGTAAGTATTTTTTAAGAAATTGTTTTATTTTGTTATTTTGTTATGATCCAACAGAAATGCTTTACTTTTATGTTTAGAGTTACCATTTTGTTTAACATTTAATAAAATAAATGAAACTACTTGTTTTTTCTGTTTATGCTACCACAATAAATGAATAAACCCAATTTTTAAAAAGTTATGACCTCAGTTATTATTATAAGTTTGATTTAGTAGGTCAAACTTTAACATGATCTTGTATGCACAACACAGAGATGAACCTAATAGAATGATTTTGGACTATTTGGTATTCATTAATTACCTCTGTGAACGTATGAGCCAGTCGTTGTTGTCTTATGCTTATGAGTATGAGTCACTGATAAGTAGAGAGCGGAAAATATGCAGCAAAATTTTGGCAAATATGATCATAAGATATGCACCAAATTTATGCAAATATGCAGTAATTTTCTTAATATATGCAGAGATATGCAGTTGCATATGCTCCAAAAATAAAAAAAAAGCTTAATAACCCAACTAAATTTATTTACAAATTACAAAAACAGGTTTCCCGAGCTTACGTTTTATTACAAAAAATACATAAATCACATTGCAAGGTGTTTGATTACATCTCACTAACACATAAATCACATTTTTAAAGGTAATACTCTTATACTAAAAAATAAATATAAACAGAACAAATCAAAAAATAGAAGTAATCGACTATTTAATTTCTATTTTGGTAACAATTTATTTTTAAATATTTTTCGAATCTTCTAACAAAAAGTTTTCCCGTGATTTAAAAGTATGTATTTGTAAATAGAAAAACTGCATACTACGTCCACAGATGTAAAAATAGAGCAGGCGCGACAAAACACAACTCCTTCTTGAAGAATAAGTTCAGGAAAAGGTTTAATCCATAAATTAATTTAAGTTATCTTCGACATATTGACACACCTGTATTACTTTAAATGCTTTCAATGCAAACTCACGATGAAAAATAATAGGATAACGTGTCTTCGACCACCATAAAACATACCATTAATACACTTAAGTAACGAACAAAAATATTGGGAATGAACCGTATTTCCAAAAGTAATTAGGGCCTGAATTTACCTGGAAGGATGGCTTAACACCCAGTGGATTCTCTAAACTACCATATAACCTAAACATTTCCTAGTTATTTGAAGCTCAGGAGAATATGAAATTTCGTCTTTCTAGTTAAATGCCAAAAGAATAACATTTTTTTTAAATTAGCACAAAAATTGATAAATATGCAAAATATGCACCCGATACGTGAAATATGCAGCAGAAGGCAAATATATGCAAATATGCAATTTTTTTATAGCTGCATTCATTTTTAATTAGCATGATTCGTTCACATACAAAATATCAAGACTTATATGCAAAAAATATAGGATATGCAAATTTCATAAAATCCGCTCTCTACTGATAAGTAAAAACTGCTGACGTAACTAAAAATATCCTTGGCCTCATGTACTTTTATTTCGTAAAGTCAAAAGCAAAATTTCATAATATAATTTATTAAAAAGTTAATAATAATATATAATAGATATAATTTATTAAATCTTTGAGTGATTTAAACGAACTAATTTGTACACACCAGACATTTTTAATTTCAAAATTAAAATAGACCATAAGGTTTTCTGACTGAATGTGCAAAAAATCTAGAATATTGCATATGTCCACTTTTAGAACAAACATTTGACCCAAGAAAGTGTAAAATTCGAACGTATACTTACTCTATTGATTTATACATCTAAAACCTCGATTTCAGAGTAGCGTTCTTTTTGTTAGTAAAATCAGATTTTTTTTCTTAAATATTTCAGTTTGTTGCTTAGCAGCACAATACATTTTATTTATTTATTTTTTTCGTCTAAAGGGAAAGCACTTCAGCTTACCTAGTCACCGTACGTTAGTAAACACTTGGTAAAAAAAGGTTTAAATTCAACATCATTATCGGCAAAACAAAAACATCAAGTTAAAAAAAAGTTAACAATCGCCCTGTAGTACATTATGTAAACAAATTTTGAGGAAATCAAAAGGAAATCATAGGAAATCAAGAGGAAATCATAGGAAATCAAGAGGAAATCAAAGGAAATCACAGGAAATCAAAGGAAATCAAAGGAAATCACAGGAAATCAAAGGAAATCAGAGAAAATCAAATGAAAGCGGGGGAAATCAACAGGAAATCATTGTCAAAAGGAAATCAATTGTACACTTGATGGTCGGCGGTTTACCCCTCGAATAATACTAAATTATTGGTTGTTAGGAAATCTACAACAAAAATATATGTCATTCTGTTTGAAAGCGAAAGTTTATTGTCATTGTTGGAAAAACTTGACAGTGTTTCAAAGTGGGCATGGATTTTCAAGTAGGTACTTAATTTGATGTGACATATTTCACATTTATCTTAGCGGTTTCAGTGCCAGACAGTCACCTATTTTAATAATGTTTTGAAAATTTTTGTCATAGTGTATTTTGGGTTGCATCTATATTTCACATTTTGTTTCGTTTATAGAAATTTTGAGCAAATTTTTGTCTTGCACAGAAGAGATAAATTGAACGTAACAATAATAATTATAATAACTTTTTATAGGATATAGCAGTTATATATTAGCTCCATTATTATTTTTATGAAAAAAAAAAAACAAAATCGTAGGTAGGTAGTTAAAATCAAGTAGCTATGAAAACTTAAGTAAAAAAAAATTCCTTAATTTCATCATTTTATTGTAACTAAAAAAAGAGAAAAACGTATGCAAAGTTAAATAATGTTATATAATAAAAATTATAAATAACTTAGAGATTTTAAAAGATTAAGAACAAGAAGGATCGACGTGTACTAGAGAATCATACTTAATTAACTTTTTTCGCATTAATGAATATGCGGCTCACATAAAGTGTCAGTAAAACCTCTCAGCTTCGCTTTTCTTATAAATATAACAATTTCTTCGTAATTATCCTGAATTAAGCTTAGTGAACATTTTGAGAAGGTAGGTACCTATATAATGTACAAACAATGGAAAACCTATTATTCTTAATTGGACGGCAGTTTTATTTCACTAGTGTTTAAATATTACGAAAATTTTACATACAAAATCTCCCTACAAATATAAAACCTAACGTCAGAGCAAAAAGAGCAGCAGTCTTCTGTCCTGAATTACACAAATCGTCGTCACATACGTAACACTCGTCTACAATGTAGCCCTTGTGTCTACGGTTGTTGGCAAAATTAGTACAGTCAAAGTCATTTTTTACCACACAGTGTCTGCTCACAGTGGAAGAATTTGTTCTGCTATCTGAAATTAAAATACAAATATATTATAGAGAATATATTATATTTAATTTGTGTAGAATGATGTATTCTTGTAACTTACTGCGTTCAAGATAGGCAACACATTGATAATCTACGACGTCAGAGTTGCGTGAGTTGCAGTGGTGCTTTTGAATGCTTGTTTTATTGATAGGGCTGTAACAGTCTTGGTTATGACTTGTTCTGCATTGATAGCACACCAGGGCATTACCTGAAATATTTAAACATTTTAATTGTTCATCTCCATACTTAATACCTATAATATAGCAAAAAATTTACAAAACCGTTCAAAATATATACATACAATGATGATAAATAATAATAATATAACTGCTGGTTTTTTCTTCAAAAATTGCAATTAAGAAAACGCCAAATATTAATAAATAAAAATAAAAATACGTTTTATCGTCAGTCAAATTCTATCTCCTTATGTAAAAAGTTTTCGTATAGTTTTAATTTTAAATCACAAGGTACAAATTTTGTGACCACAAGATGCATAAAAGTAGATAAATTAATTGCATCGTCTGCTTAATTCGCTTAAAAATTTTTTGCAGAAACATATTGTTTCACGTTTAAAAAGAGAATAATTTAATTTATTAAGTAAATGAAAACTTACCCAGTGTAACAGCAAAGCAGAGCAAGAACAACCAAACAAGTTTTGTGTTCATTTTGAAGAGTTATTTGAGATACAGTGGAGGACTGTTGCTTTAATAGTTTCGTTTATGGAAGGCGGGTTGGCTGACAAATATTTGGTTTATAGTTTTGGCGCAATTCTAGCGTAAAAATACACTCATTGTGTGATTGATTTTTCCCTAGTATTTGGTTTATGAATTTATTTAGCGATAATTTGATGAATAAGCCGCCGTTATCATTGTCATGGTGATTACATGGTTTTTCAAACACTCTTTGACAATTTTTGTTTACTTAGAATAACTGATTCACAGAATTCTCCAAAGATATACACCGCTAAATAAATAGACGGTCCTTTAATGTGGGAAAATTAATTTTTAAGTGTGCAATATTCCTCTGGGACAATTATTTAGGTACAAACTTCACAATACTTTTTATACAATGGAATGATGTTGTAGTACATACATTTAAAGAGGTGCCGAGAAAAAAAAATAAGTTTGATATTTGGCAAAAACAATGACAGGGATAAGTGATTTTTAGCCCCGTGGCGTTCCGTTTTGAAAAATTAAATTTCGCGCCGAAAAAAAAAAAACAAATCGCGAAATCGCATTTCAAAATGAGAAACGTATTCCATAACGTAGGCAATCACTTGGGTAATGAGGTCGAGGGATTAACGGAAGTCCACCCTGTTAGGTTGGTACGTAGAGTTTTGCATGTAATTTCATCAAAGGGTAATTACATAAGGAAATCTGTAATTTTGTTTAACTTTTCTGAATTTTATTACAAATTATAGGTACAAGAAGAAGGTACACGTTGTCTTCTTGTACCATGGTTAAAATCAAGTAGCTATGAAAACTTAAGTAAAAAAGTTCCTTAATTACATCATTTTATTATAATTACAAAACAGGTAAAACTTATGCAAAGTTATGTACTGTAATATAAAAAGTGTAAACAACTTAGAGACTTTTTAAAATTAAGAGTAGAAGGATGTGCATTAGAGAAACATAATTCACTTTTCACATTAATGAATATGCTGGTTTCACTCTGTTTTTAACATAAAATAAGAGCAAGTTAAAAACCTCCCAGCTTCGCTTTTCTCATAAATATAATAATTTCTTCGTAATTACCATGAATTTATAGCGAACATTTTAAGAAGGTACCTACTTAATGCACAAACAATAGAAAACTTATTATTTTTAATTAGACGGCAGTTTTATTTCACTATTGTTTAAATATTACCAAAATTACTTAATCAAATAATTATTATCGATCGTTTAAAAACAAAATCTCCGTACAAATATAAAACCTAACGTTAGAGCAAAAAGAGCAGCAGTTTTCTGGCCTGAATTGCACAAATCACCATCACATACATAACACTCGTCTACAATATAGCCTTGGGGTCTACGGTACTTAGTAAAATTTGTACAAAGTCATTTTTTATCACACAGTGTCTGCTCACAGTGGAAAAATTTGTTTTGCCACCTGAAATTAAAATACGAATGTATTATAGATTTTCGTGGATGTATTTTAGTAACTTACTGCGTTCAAGATAGGCAACACATTGATAATCTGCGGTGTCAGAGGTGCCTGTGTTGCAGTAGTCCTTTCCAATGGTTGTTTTATTGATAGGGTTGCGACAGGCTCATTTAGTACTTTTTATACATTCATAGCACACCAGGGCATTACCTGAAATATTTCAGTTTTATAAACCGTTCAAAATACGTACAATCATTTTTCTGAAATCTATTGATGCATGATCCCTAAAAAATTTTATACTAGTACTATTTTTGCGTTATGTGTAGAATAACATGAATTGCAACCAAAAACAAAAAACGAAATACTAATAAATAAAAAATGTCGAAAGTTGTTTCGACAGAATTTTCCTAGATCCTAAAATACAAAGAAAAATATCCAGCATTTTCGAGTTGAGTTTTTTCTTTACACAATTTTGTGATGATTTTGATTGATGCAGCTGTTTAAGCAAATATAAAAAATATTGATGCAATAATAAATCAAAAGTAAAAATTCTTTATATTTTGCACATTTTGGGTGGAATTTATTCGACAAAATTTTGAGATGACGTCATCAGTTTTTTGAATGGAATAAACAGAAATATTTTGATTAAAAATTTGTCATACTTATCATAACTTTAAAGCATCTGCAAGATTTCAAAACATTCAGTTTTGCAGATTCAAAATCACGGAGTCATAAACTACATGTGCAGGACTATGTTATTTTAAACAATTTAAAACCCATTTACTGTCTACAGTTTTGAAGTAACGTCATCGCTTTATTGGTGGCGATGATTAGACACATTTTGATTAACGTTCTACCATCTACATGAAATTCCTAATATAAATACAAAATTTGATAAAAATCGGCCCACTACTTTCGGAGATCTGTCTAATGAAAATCTGTGACGGCAGACAGACAGACAGACGGATAGACAAACGGACAGACGAAAACGGGAGACCTATTTCTTCGTAGTCTAGGGGCCACAAGGAGAAATATATATAATCACACGATGCACAAAAGTAGATAAATTAACTGCATTGTCTGCTAATTTCGCTTATAAATTTTGTACAGATATATTGTTTCACCTTTAAAAAATGTTTTAAGAAATATATCTGTTTTCAAATTGTCGATTATTTGCACCTGAGAATAATTTAATAATTTTTTATTAAGTAAATAAAAACTTACTCAATGTGACAGCAAAGCAGAGCAAGAACCACCAAACAAGTTGTCTGTTCATTTTGGAGAGGTATCTCATTGTAAAACTGTTGCTTTAACAGTTTCTTTTTGGGGAGGCAGAAGGGCTAATAAAGATTTACTTTATAGTTGCCGCAATTCTAACGTGAAAATACATTAATTGTGTTAATTTTTTCGTAGTATTTGGTTTATGAATTTATTTAACGATAATGTGGTGAATAAGCCATCGTTATCATTGTCATGATGCCCTGACAATTTTTGTTTACTTGAATAACTGATTCAAAGACCTGTTAAAACATATACACCTATAAATAAACAGACGGTCCTTTAATGTGGAAAAATTTTTAAGTGTGCACTATATCCCTGGGACAATTATATTTAACTACAAACTTTACAACATTTTTTTATACAATGGAATGTACTTGTAGTACATACATTTAAAGAGGTGCTGACAGGAAAAAATTAAGTTTGATATTTGGCAAAAACAATGACAGGGATAAGTGATTTTTAGCTCTGTGGTGTCCCGTTTTGAAAAATTCAATTTCGCGCCGAAAAATCGCATTTGAAAATAAGAAACGTATTCCATAACGTACGGGGATTTGCCCTCCATATTTTGCAAATGAACGCAGTTTTAAAATTTTATTTATGTCTAATTTTGACGGGAAAAACCTGTAGAAACCAATCCACAATGAGACAGACATATCATTGTGAATAAATGTAAAGCGCTTTCAGTATTTTTGTTAGACTTTTAATTTTCAAAATTTAGCAATTAGCACAAGTTCTATTTAGAGAGATGTGTGTTTGTATTAATAAGCTTGATTATATTTTAGAACATAGCATATAAAATAACAGAAAAACCGATGGTTCGGGGTAAAAAGGAAATCAGGATTAAAACAATACAGCAAAAAAATTCTAGGAAGTGTACGTTAAATTTTTAATCGTAAAAAATTTCCTAATACCGGTTACTTTTGTCGCTATTAATATTGTGTAACATATAGGGTTACAATGATAATAAAATAAAATAAAACGTATAAAAATTTCTGATTAGATTAAACTAAGGTAACTTCGAAAAATGTCATATCAATATCAAAGAGCATTTTTAGTTAGTATACAATGTTATTGTTATAAATAAATATCGTTTATTTAAAATTGACTGTTTTTGTTAATTGGTTACAAAAAATGTGTCTAAGTTGTTGTCACAGAACCTCCCTCGGGTTTAAGGGTGCCCAGTAGCAGTCCGAAAAATGAGCTGAATAGAAGTTCATTTTACGGGCGTAATTTCAACTTTTATAATCTCTAAATCTCTGGGGAAGACACAATATTTTTTAAAATAAGTGATTGTTTAGTGTTTAATTAATCGTTCATTCTTCGAAGGAAATTGCATTTTTAGTAGAGGAGGGAGCATTTTTCGCTCCAACTTTTATATCAGTGTAAAGACAACATTGAGCTCTATGGGGAAGACCCGGTCACTTTTGTTTAAAATTTATATTTATCAAAATATGTATTTGCTTTTTAAAAAAATACTGAATAATGAAAATAGAGTGAAACTAGGCAACCCTCTTTACAAAGATCCGTTTCAATAAATGATTGAGTTTTACACAGCAGGGAGCCTTGCCGACCGACCCTTTCAGGTAATCAGTTCAGGTACTTTAGGTCATAAAATTCATAAATACTCTTAGCTGACCAATATTGTTGAAACTCTTCTTCTATCATTGCTGACATAATTTGATTTAAAAGTATGCAAATTTTTATAATTTTATACATTCTACTAAAACATTTTCTTTAAAAAAATTATTTAAATATTTTTTATTGATCTGTCATTTTATATATTAATCAATACACTTCACTAACCACTTATTTACCTGAACAATCATATTTATTTCAATTTAATTTTCTTTTCCGCACCACCTATGAGGTAGAGTATTATAGGCACGTTGTTTTTTACGTTGTAAGTCCAGTAAACCTATTCCACTATTACTATTTATTCCTGTGTGTGTTTATACTAGAAGGTCAAAAGATTTATATGAACTGCAAAAAATTTTAATTGTACAATTTTTTCTTTACAATTTGTCTAATGGGTTGACTTGTTTAATAACGAGAATCTACTCTCTCCGGAAGTAAGACATATAAATAAAATTTTTCTAGGGCTGTGTCATACTATTTTCCCAAAATTTACCATCTCGTTGAATTAAGCATTATTTAAATTGGACATTTTATATATTTCTACGATAGCGTTTTTGTTTATTAAGCCGTCTGGCAATGCCGCCAAAAATGTACAAACCGCATTGTCTTATTGTCAGTTTGGTGTTACTGCAAAATGCTTCAGTTGCCCTTGCCCTTGTCATTTTCTATGCAAAGATTTTGGGAGAGTACATGCTGAACTAGATTTGCAGGGTTGTAAAATGTTTTTCACAGTACAGTAGGATTAGCCGTGTTACTTGTTCTCTCATTTTGCAAATTTTACCAAAATAACGTTCGCTTAGTCTAAAGGATTTTTCTGCGCACCATTCTGGATTATTGCGTTCGCCAATTGTGTTTTGTTCCATTAAAAAAACATCGACGTTTGAAAGTTTTTTGAGAAATACTTTTTGCCCTGTGACATATCAGGTATTTCAATTGCCTCGTTAGATACGTCGTCGCCCGAGAACTTGTATGATCCACAGACCGGAGCGCGCTCAGGCCAATGTCGACTCTATAAGCCTCCAGAAATTCTGCGGGAAATAGTTATTATTTAGATGCTTTTGTTTACACACGTCTCACATGTTTCACTCGATTTTGACACTCAACAATTTTTTTGCTTAACTAAGAATTAATACTTTCACTGCGTTTGATACTAACGTCCTAAATTAGCAATACTAATGGAACAGTAATCATGCAATAGATTTTTTTGGTAAAGTGCAGTTATTTTTATGTTTTAGCAGCAATGTGTTCTATTTTCTATTAATTTTTAGATATTTTTAGTCACAATTTTGGTAGTTGTTTTTTACTTTTATTTTTAGCAATAATAATAAATAGTCCAAACATGAAAAAAAACAAAAAAAATTAAAATTGGAAAATCTAAAATTTAGAAATCGAGAAATTGAACAATCGTATAATTGAAAAATCTAAACATCGAAAAACTGGAGAATCGAAAAATAAAAAAAAAATGGAAAATCAGAAATTTAATGAATTCCGAAAATTGAAAAACTGAAATATGCATAGAAAAACTGAAAACTCGAGGAATCGAAAAATCTAGAATTTTAATAATTGAAAAATTAAAATATCGAAAAGTTGAAAAATTGCGAAATCGTATCATTGAAACATCGGACAATTGAGAAATCGAAAAATTAAAAAAAGGAGAAATCGAAAATTTGAAGAATGGAAAAATTGAAAATGTCAAAAATTGAAATATTGAAAAATTGAAACATCAAAAGTTGAAAAATCGAAAAACCAAAGAGCCGAAAAATCTCAATAATGTATTTATAAACCACGAGTTCAGGATTATGCTGCTTGTTGGACGTAAAGGCTTTGAAAACACCTTTTTTTCGCGGCGATTTTACAATTCCAAAAAAATAATATTAAAATTTGGATCGAAGCTGACAAACGCATCAAAAGGTCACCTACCTTGTTTTGTTCAGCCTCCTGGGTTGAGGGTTTGTAGACCGCATGCACAAAGGAACCACGTGTCTAAGTTTCGCGACAACAATTCGCGATTGACGTCACACAAGATGGCAACTGCGTTCACTTAACGCCCACCTTAGCGATGTTACCTCTCTGAGGGCCGGTTTATCAATGCGCAGTTAAGTTAAAGTAACTGGCAGTTAAAGCTTGTCTGTGAGTTAACCTGTTTATCATTACCCGCTAGCTCAAAACTGGTGGTCAAAGTGCCTGATAAATTAACTGACAATTCAAACTGTCAGTTAAGGCGTTATCCACCAGTTAGTGGCAACATAACCTAACAAATCCAAATAAATCTGTTACGAATTTAACAATATTTTGATGAGGATTATGTTGTGCAACAAATTGACAGAGAAAAGATGAGAAAAACACTTATTATTAGCTGATTATTTTCCAGGTCTAATGTAGGTACCAAAAATTGAAAACCTATCTAATAATACCGCGAGATCGAAAAAGAAATTAATCGAAGTAGGCCATGCAGGATAAGCCGTTTGTCGTAATCACGGTGGTAGGGTAATTAAATTTTTTTTATTAAATGTCAAATTGACAGTTTAAAATTAGAATTATGACGCCTAATTTTAAAACACATAAGAATGAATTAAAATCACCGTTTTCCAATTTTGTCTAAAATTTATCCCATTTCTGAAGATTCTAATAACAAAAAAACTTTAATTTCGTTTGATAACAGTGCAAATTACTTTTGTCAACGTGACGATTAATAAAAAAATATTTTAAACTAAGACAAACGCCTTTTCGTGCATGGCCAACTTTGACTAATTTCTTTTTCGATCTCTCTGTATTTATTTATAGGTGTACCTACTTGTTTCATTTTTAATTTCCAATACTTTTTCTAATGCTAACTTTTGCTTTTTCATGATTGATCACGTGAAACGCGATATACAATCGTTGAATACCGAATGCGGATCGAATCTGATGGAACTTTCAAGGTCGGGGTAGTTTTGAACTGACCAATCACAACTCATTTCCAGTGGGGTGAGCGTTACCAACTTAAGAGAGTAACAGCTAAACTTCGAGCTACGAAACTGGAAGAAACATCGTGCATTGATAAACACTTTACCTCCGTTAACTGCTAGTTACCCTTATCTGACAGTTACTTAACAGACACTTTTAACTGAGCATTGATAAACCGGCCCTGAGGGTTTCTCGATAACTCTGTTCGATAACAGCGCCAACCCCAAGTACCGGGCCCTTTTGCTCGGTACTATGGCGCCTCTAGTGGAAAGTGACCAAAATACACTTGTCAGCAATCCGCGGGAAAACAAACAAAATCAAAACAAAATATTAACAAACTTCGAACCGGAACACTACTAAAAAATTAATAACGTCATCTCAAAATTTTGCCGAATAAATTCTACTAAAAATGTGCAAAATATGATGAGTTTTCGAAAATGCTGGATATGTTTCATTGTATTTTAGGTGCGCGGGAAGTTCTGTCGAAACAACTTTCCACCATTTTTTTTGCTGTTATATTTGAATATAAACAGTTTATTTTATATATTTTTAAAATATTATAAAGAAAATAAAAAGTTGTATTAGACTGAACCTTGTGGGTTTCTCAATCTATTTTCCGCAGCATTTTAAACTTTCAACTCAATTTCTTTCAAAATACATACAAATGGATTTCGATGGTTATTTCCCTGTACCCTTCATTTGAAAAGAAATAAGCTTATCTGGTGTTGTTTACCGATTTGCATTTTATGACAGACACCCGACAGTGACTATGATCTCTCGTGTTTTTGGGTCGGTACCTGCGATGGCTCGGTACTTTGGGTTGCATAGTTACAAAAAATAATTCTTCTCACTGGAACCGATTTTGCGGACGACGACTGGGGACCCTTAAATTACAATTAAACGAATCCCGATTTGATTTTTTTGTTATAATAACCCCCAGAAGATTAAATAAAAATTGGAGTGGGTTTTTAAACTGGAGGTAAAGAAGCATGTGATGCGTAAAAACCAACAAATTCAGTAAACTGTGAAACTTGTCTTCTACTCAGTCCGTTTAATAAGAAAAAACCTAATTCCTACTGATTCGTGATTTAATACGCATTTTACGCGCTGATGCACTTAATTAGGTTTCGCAAGTTTCCCTCAGTACATAGTTCGAAATTTCAGATCACGTAAACGCGCGCTAAAAATAAGCAATATGCCAAAATATATACACATTCTTTTATTTCCCAACTGTATCATTGCCGTCATTGCAGAACGTATTAATAGTCAGTCAAAATTTCAGAATTAGTAATAAATTGGTACAAAAACTAGCTTAAATAAAATTTATTGTGGTCAGAGTTGCTTTTTAGGCTGCGTCGCGTCGAATCTGTTCACACATATGTGGATGTCATCAAGGACAGCAGTCGTCACTGATTAAATAAACATTGAACGCTGTGTTTGGTTTTGTGAAGATAAAATATAAAATTTGTGGTTTTCTTTGTGGATGGTGTTACATAATAATTTTTTAAAAAATGTGGGTGTTTATTGCCGCTGCGGTACTAATGGCATTTGGGTACTGGGTGCTGAGTCGACGTCATAGTTACTGGTTTAGAAAAGGGGTACCACAAATAAAACCAACGTTTATTTTTGGAAACATGTGGCCTATGATTCTTCGTAAACGATCAGTTCCTGAAATTATACAAGACATGTACAATTTTGATAAAGATTTAAGGTAAGCGCCATTATCTCTCCCAAAATTAAAGCAAAATATTTAATAACAATCAGGTACGTCGGCATATACCAGTTTCTTCGACCAGCTCTTATGTTGAGAGACCCAGAACTCATCAAGCAAATCACAGTAAAAGATTTCGATCACTTTTTGGATCATGTAGCTCTCGTAGATCCAGATGCGGACCCTCTATTTGGTCGAAATTTATTTGGACTTAACGGGATGAAGTGGAGGGAGATGAGATCTACACTTAGTCCAACATTCACTAGCAGTAAAATGAAGCACATGTTTTCTTTAATGTCACAAAACGGAGAACAATTTGCAAAATATTTCCTGCAAAAAAATGAAGACGTAATTGAAGTAGAAATGAAAGATCTTGCTGCAAGGTTTGCAAATGACGTTATTGCTAATACTGTGTTTGGGTTTGAAAGTGACTCTCTGAAAGAACCTAATAATGAGTTTTATACAATGGGAAAATTTGCTGCTGATTTTACAAGTATAAGGAAAATCCTGGTGTTTATGGGGTACATCTTATTGCCCAAACTATTTAAAGTAAGTACAATTTTGTGTTAGATACGTTTTTGGGTATCTAACTAATGTATCTATTTACAGTTTTTCAAAGTGGCTTTTTTCCCTGACAAAATGGCGAAGTTTTTTCGAAGAATAATCAAAGAAAATATTGAAAGTAGGGAAAAACACGGTACTAAACGTGCTGATATGATTGGGTTGTTGCTTGAAGCAAGAAAAAACACGCACGACGACGACGATCACAGTTCTTTACCGGATACTGGTTTTGCTACGGTAGAAGAGTCAGAAATTGGCAGAAATCAAAAACTAAGAAAGACTACAATAACAGATGAAGACATTACTGCTCAGGCTTTTGTATTCTTCTTTGCTGGATTCGATCCTGTTTCTTCGCTTGTGAGCTTTATGGCTTACGAACTAGGTGTCAATCAAGAAATACAAGAGAAACTTAAGAAAGAAGTAGATGCTACGAACGAAAAATGTAATGGAAAAATAACGTATGAAGCTTTAACAACAATGAAATATATGGATATGGTGGTGTCTGGTAATAATAGTAATATTAATAAGGTACCTATATTTTTCTTTGATTATTATTTATAGAAGCCTTAAGAAAATGGCCAAATGCCATCGTTACTGACAGAACCTGTACTAAACCCTACACCATCGAACCAAAATCACCAAATGAAGAACCAGTTCATTTAGATAAAGGTGATACGATATTTCTACCGGTCTACGCAATTCAAAGGGATCCAGAATACTACCCAGAACCAGAACGATTCGATCCTGAACGCTTCAGTGACGAGAACAAAAACAAAATCAAACCCTATACGTTCTTTCCATTTGGATTGGGACCACGAAATTGTATTGGCTCGAGATTTGCTTTAATGGAAATTAAGCTTCTTTTTTACTACATGCTGTTACATTTTGAAATAATTCCAATTGAGAAAACACAAATTCCGATTCGTTTTAGCAGAAAAACTATAAATATGTCGGTTGAGAAAGGTTTTTGGTTGGGGCTTCAACGTCGCGTAAAGTAGCATTTTGATGGTTTGGATAGTTTTGTGTTAATGAACATATATCTGCTTGTAAATATTGGTGTTAACATAAAATTAATAGTGGGTGTCTTCTTGTGCAAATGTATAAATTTGCTATATGTTAAGAACAAAGTAGATGATGCCAAAAATATGCTTCGTAAATGGAGAACTGACATACGACTTTTTAACATTACTTAATAATGTGATATTATGTAGTAATTAACATCTATTAACAAAGTTGATCTTAAGTCAACACAAAGTTGAATGCTGTTGCAATTACTAACTTATTGTTACACGGTTAATTTGCACAAAATCTGCATTATAATTGTCATTTTTTATTAAAAAAAAGTAACAAAAAATATATAGAGTCTTTGTTATGTACAAACTTTTAACAAATGTTATGAAAAGGTAAAATAAATAATGTTTTAGTATTAATGATGGAAAACATCTTTTTTCGCGGCGATTTACAATTCCGAAAATTAAATTTTTTTGGATTGAAGCTGACAAACGCACTAAAAGGTCACTTACCTTGTTTTGTTCAGCTTCCGGGGTTAAAAGTTCTGTAGACCGCCTGCACAAGGAACCACGTGTCTAATTTCGCGCCAATACTTCGCGATATTACCTCTAGAAGGTTTCTCCATACCAACTGTGCTCGATAACAACGCCAACAGCGGCTACTTGCTCTCCACTACGTGACCTTTGTAGGTGTCTCTAAAGTACAGGCACTCTGTGTTTCCTTCGTCATTCTCTTCCTCTTCGGAACTTGTCTGACGGGTTATGCCTATATTTTTTTCCAAATAATTCTCTTATCACATTTTTTCCCGCGACGTGCCTTTTTGTTTTATTTTTTTTGTTCACTTTATTTCTACTCTAATTCTTCTTTATATGGTGTGTTTGTTAATTCCATAGCAGATTTGGGATGCCTTGTCTTGTCGTTCACATGTCTTTTTGTCTCCGGTCGGCAGTGGCGGAATCTCGTACAAACTGAACTGTTTTTTTATTGACTGAAGGGGCGAGGAATGTTTTCTGCAAGACGGAATAAGAGATTCGCTCATATTTTTGACACAACTAGTTGATGGAAGGGGTGAACTAAGTGAAGAGCAGCTTTGTTAATAAGTTGGAGTAGGAGTGACGCTATGATCAACTGGGGAATGTAATACTTCTGACGAATATCTGGTTAAAATAGGAGAGACGCTAATATTTCTAACGTAACTAGTTGATGGTAAGGGTAAGATAAGTAAGGAGCGATTTTGCTTTTGGTCAGGGAAAGAAGTGACCATACAATCAACTGGTGGAGGTAAGGTTGCTGTGGGAGATTCTGTGTCTTCCGCTGCGTCAGATTGTAAAATAGTAGATGGTGCAAAGTCATGATCTTAGAATTTATGACGGTTTACTGCCAAATTCTTGCACCCCTGAAGGTTCCTGCTGCAGTTCCAACAGTGGCTGCACGACCCTACGCTTCTCCTATCAATGCTACCACATTATAAACAGATATCGGAGTTCCAGCGTTAGCACCATTAATATATCCACTGCCAGAAAGTCTACATGGAGGAGCTCCAATTCCTAGTTCTGGAGCACGTCGCTTTCTTTTAAAAATGATCATCGGTGGAATGTCAAGGCCTGCTACATTTACGCAGTACACTACCGTAGTAAGCACTCCTCTTTCTCCACTAGTGATTCCCCCAACCTGTCTTTTATCGCGTTGGGCAATGATTTTTTGTTTTCTTTTTTGAGCCGTACTGTAACCTGATTCATCTACATTGAAAATGGTGTTCTATGTAATTTTATATTTGTCTACAAGTCGCTCTGAAATATCAAAAAAGTCCATGACTCGTTGTTTTTTTAAAGCTTTTTGCCCGAGCAATCGAAGTTGACTCTGGTTACGTAAGGGTAGTTTTCATAAATCCATAGGACCATTTTTTGCCAGCCATTTTTTTTCACGGTTAAAATGGTGGGGAATTATCTTTTTATAATTTTATTTAAACCATACTGACTCTCTTCAAATTGTAGAAGATAATTTGCTAATTCTTCTTCTTGATTTTTGGTAAACGTAATGACTTTCTTGATATCGTTGGTTACTTTATTTTCGTGGTTTAAGTGTCTCTTTAGAGTCACTTTCGGCACTGCAAATCTCCTTTGGCACTCATTAAGCCCGACCCCGACAATAGCCGTTTCAAGGTCGTGCTGAATTCAACGCCGGCACTTTTGAGCATTCTGGAAATGAACAAGATTTCTAATTACATACAAGGCTGCCTTTTGGCTCGTGGGATTTTTAATACATTTTCAGAATGCAATGTCTCTATCATTAACACACATTTTTTTTTATTTCAGTAAAAATTTTGCATCACATCTTTAAAAATCAAAAGTCTCCGTTTTTCTTACGGAAATTTTGGAACGAGGTTTTGACAACTATTTTCAGTTTACAAAACTATATGAATCCTAGAGAAAACATTGTCGACCGTTTTTGTCAGTGAAAGGAAGAAGAAACAGTTACATAGTTTTGTAAGCTGAAAACAGTGGTGAAATCCGCGTCCCGAAATTTTCATAAATAATTAAGGTATTGACTTAAATTTCACTAAAATGTAGAAAAAGACGATAATCAATTATTGCGCTTTATCCTACAAGTCATGGACAAGTTATATTTAAAATTTCGTGACAATAAATCTGTTAATATTGGAAATATTATATTCTGAATATGATTGAACACACCACAGGAGCCAAACGTGGCGATTCGCTTTAAATTGAACCGGTCCAATTTGAGATGCCAGACCAGGTTCAAATTAGGCACCTTTACGAATTTTCTGTCCGTCCAACTTCCACTTTTTATCTCAGTACTTAATAACTTTATTTTATAGTAAGACACTTTAAAATACTCTAAACATTATCTAATCAAGATCATCACGAAAATTGTAAGGTGTAATGACTGGTCATTGTTAATTTTTAAAGCATTTTAACATCTAGGAGAACTCATATAATTGAGGAAAACCAAAAAAAAGTAGTAAATGTTATTAAGAATTCCCGAAATTATAGGCTACGACTATAATAGCGCTGGCGATCGGACGGCAATGAGAATCACTTCCGCGATGCCGAAGTGTGTTTATTAGGGTTGAAACATGAAGTTCAGACAATTCTAGTAGAACTTTCTTAGTCCTTTGTAGTATACAAACCATCACTAAAGTGTGTTTTACATTTTCTTGTTTTTTTCTTTTTTAATAGTAGGTACATTGTTTCCGAAACATTTTTTTATTTTATTTTTTTCGTTGCCGTTTCAGTTACACACTTCAAAAAAGGCGGAACAAATCAGTGACCTCTTGGATGTAATAATATTTATGAAAGACATGTGTAATAACGAGCTTCATATATAAATATATAAAGAAATGTTACTCAATTTATTCTTACTTTCGTAGCCAGTTATTACTAGACGAAGAACGTTGCTAAATGCATTGCATGCCAAAATTTCGTCAATAAAATGTTAGAAGATGCAAATTCCACAAAAAAAAAATTGTTAACACAAACTTGCCGTCGTAATTGCTAATTAAGTAGTTCAGTACATTTTACTATAACTGTAGAAATGGTTTTACAAATAGGGAATATTGTTAAATTCCGTACAATTGGCAACAAATTGCTTTGAAAAACTGCCGTCTGCAGATGACAAGATTGGCAAATGGAAATTTAAAATTGTTTTAGATGAAATACTATCTCTCATGTGGTGTCCCGATTTGAAAATTATTAGCACTAAAAAAACAACACCTCGAAACTGAATTTGAAAAATAAGAAAATCATTGACCTCGCTTGCCTTGAGTCAGAATCGGCATCATTTTCTCTAATTTGGCGTAGGCAATTATTACACATGCTCAGTGTGTAAGGAGGCTTGACAGTTTAGACTGTTGCGCACTTAGATCTTAAAGGGTCTCTTCACCCTCATTCTTGTTTTGGTATGTCAGTGTAAACACGTGTTAAATTGATACGTAAAATTTTGTTTCTAATTTCATGAAAGTGCAGTTGCTTACAGAAAGATAAATCGCATTCGATGCCACTGTCCCATTCAATGAGTATAATTAGTATAAGACCAGTTAATTAGCGTTTTTTAATCTAAAATATTGTGAAACTTTGGTGAACTTGTCAACCCGTGTTCGTATATAATTCATGGCGGAAATTAATTTATTCAGGTTTAACTTACTTTAGTACATAGGTACATACATTATTACTTTTAGTAACGATGTTTAAAGTTTTGGCCCGAATCTACTTAAGTTATTGTATTTTTAAACTTCGTAATTTCTTACTCGAGATTTTAGATTGTTCATTAGTGGTTCCTAAACATTGATCCATTTTGAAGGAAAAGACATGCTGCCTTTTTGCGAAGATAGGGTATAGAGTATAATGTGCCTCGGGTTTTTTTAGATGACAGACTACGACGAGGCACTCTAATTCCACTCTCATCACAACCAACTCTGAGACACATTTGTTGATTTCTCGATGTTAATAACTTAAAATTGTTGCCGCACCATCGTATTATCATCCAGTTACTTAATGACAATTTCTGTTATTTTCTTCGTGTTTATTACTTTTTTTTAATCAAGAGGTTAGTTAACTCGCAGTTATTCCAACTACAATTAAGAGCAATAATCGCATTTTCCAATTCAAGAACTTATCAGTAAGGCCAAAAAAACAATACATTTATAATAAATTGACGTGAAATCTGTGTTTTACCCGTGTGATGATAAAAAAAATGAACCATTATTGATTCATTTTCGCGTGCGCATTTTACGCATTGTCCCTAATTAGGTTTCACTAGTTTCCCTCAGCGGAGCTCTAAATTTCAGTTCACGCAAGCGTGCTTTAAAAATAACGCAAAACATCTGAATCGTTAAAAAATACTGCCATTCGTACGTTCTTTTTTCGAAACCGTATCACTAAAGCCATCGCAAAAGGTATTAGTACACTGTCAAATTTTCAGAAATGGTAATAAAGATTTATAAAATCTAGCATAAATAAATTCTCTTGTCGTCGGAGTTGTGTTTGTCAGTATGCATCTTGCGTCGTGTTGGATCTGGTCGCTTTTAAATCTAGAGTACCATCAGTAGGCTTCATCAAGGACGGCACTGATAAATGGGTAAATTAACATTATTATGTACAGCACGAACGAGTAATTTGGTGAAAATAAAATACAAAAATTGTGGTTTCCGTTTGGATGTAATATAATTCTGAAAAATGTGGATATTTATTGTGGCTGGGGTACTAATGGTACTTGGCTATTGGGTACTGAATCGACGTCTGAATTACTGGACTAGGAAAGGTGTACCACAATTAAAACCAATATTTATCTTTGGGAACTTATGGCCTATAATTTCGCGTAAACTATCACCTCCTGAATTCACACAAGAAATATACAACTCTGGCCAAAATCTACGGTAAGTATAACTGAGGTATACTAAGAAAATTATCCAAGTATAAACAGGTACATCGGCACATATCAGTTTCTACGACCAACTCTGACGATAAGAGACCCAGAACTCATCAAGCAAATTACAGTAAAAGATTTCGATCATTTTTTGGATCATGTAGGTTTAATAGACCCAGAAACCGATCCCATTTGTGGAAAAATTTTATTTGTACTTAATGGAATGGAGTGGAGGGAGATGAGATGCACCCTTAGTCCAACTTTCACCAGCAGTAAAATGAAGTACATGTTTTCATTAATGTCTCAAAATGGAGAACAATTTATCAAGCATTTCCTTCAAAAAAATGAAGACGTAATTGAAATAGAGATGAAAGATGTAACTTCAAGGTTTGCGAATGACGTTATTGCTAACACGGTGTTTGGGTTTGAATGCGATTCCTTGAAAGAACCTGATAACCAGTTTTACACAATGGGTAAGTTAGCCACTGACTTTGCAAATATTCGGACAATTTTGGTATTTATGGGTTACCTCATAATGCCAAAACTACTTAAAGTAAGTACAATTTTAAATTCTTTATGGTTTAAAAAAAAATGATTTTTAGTTTTTCAAAGTGACGCTGTTTCGTGATAAGATGACGAATTTTTTTGGGAGAATAATCAAAGAAAATATTGAAAGTAGAGAAAAATATGGTGCTAAACGGTCTGACATGATTGGTTTGTTACTCGACGCAATGAGAAGTAAGCACAATGACGACGAACACAGTACTTTACCAGATACTGGTTTTGCTACGGTAGAAGAATCAGAAATTGGTAAAGACCAAATGTTTAGGAAGAGTGAATTGACAGATGAAGACATTATTGCTCAGGCTTTTCTATTCTTCCTTGCTGGATTTGACTCTGTTTCTTCACTAATGTGTTATATGTCGTACGAATTAGGAGTCAATCAAGAAATACAAGAGAACTTAAGAAACGAAGTAGATGCTACGAAAGAAAAGTGTAATGGACAAATTACGTATGAAGCATTAAACACAATGAAATACATGGACATGGTCTTATCAGGTTAGGATTGTTCTTCTTAATCTATTTTTCTCAATGCATAATTTACAGAGACCTTGAGAAAATGGCCGAGTGCTATAGCTAGTGATAGGATCTGCACTAAACCCTATACGCTCGAACCAAAAACACCAAATGAGAAACTAGTTCATTTAGCCAAAGGTACTGTGATAGGGATACCAATGTATGCAATTCAGAGAGATCCGCAGTACTATCCAGATCCAGAACGATTTGACCCTGAACGCTTCAGTTACGAGAACAAAAATAAAATCGTACCATATACATTCTTTCCTTTTGGATTGGGGCCACGAAATTGCATTGGATCGAGATTTGCTTTAATGGAAACCAAGCTTCTTTTTTACTACATTCTGTCCAATTTTGAAATAATTCCAATTGGGAAAACACAAATTCCAATTCGTTTTAACAGAAAAGCCTTAAATATGTCACCTGAGAAAGGTTTTTGGCTAGGACTCCAACGTCGCGTCAAATGATTAATATGTTTAATGCTTTCTGTCTAACAAAGATGTATGATATTATTGTTTGATATCAAATAACCGTGTTTTGCACGTAAATACTCAGGGAAACATGTGTGTCAACATAAATTAATTGTAGGTGTTAGGTACAAATGTATAGTATTATGAAGCAAAAGAATTTAATCTATTGTATTTTATAACTTATCAAATAGTGTCAGAAATGCTTCGCAAATGTAGCGTGAATAAAAACTGAAACGTGACAAGCTTGAATACCATCTAATATTTTTATGCCAGATTACCATGTCATAGATCTAAAACACCAGATCACATACAATAAAGCACACATGAGAAGAGCAACAAGCACATGCATCTTAAATATGCCCAAAATCAGTATAATGTGGTCTCGGAAACACTTCGCTCAGGAGCGCCAATTTCTAGAATAAATGTTGAAATTCAAGCTGTAAGAAAAATTAAAGCTGAAAGAAAATAACACGCAACTAATAATACCCAAATAAACATAAAATTCCCCTCTTATTTCGAGTCCACGATAATATTAATCTAATGGTAATAATTTTCTGTAAACTTTGGTATTGACTGAGAGGACGTCAGAGGACCTTCTCAACAAATTAAGTTTTTTGGTTCCTAGATCGTCAAGTCAGGTCATTTCTGGGCCAGTAGTGGGTCTTAACCATGCATAATAATAATAATTATTACACGCATTTTAACTAGCTGCACATTTTCCAGTGTTAAAACTTAAAGATAAGAGCCAAAAAAGAACACTAAATTGGAGAAATTGCGAAATCTGTCTTCTATCCTGTTAATTGGAAATAAACTAATCATGATTAGTGTTGCGTAATCTCCTGCGCATTTTACACATTGATGTTTCTAATTAAGCTGGATAAGTTCAATTCAGTGTGGTTCGAAAATCAGTTCATGTAAGCGTTCTCTAAAAATAACTTAAAACATCTAAATTGTTTAAAAATACTTGCATTCGCGTGTTATTTTTCCCCAAAATGTGTCATTACAGTCATCGTACACGGTGAAATATTCGAAATTAGTAATCAAATGTTAGCATGAATAAATTTTATTGTTGCTGGAGTAGTGTTGGTTGAGTACGCAAGTTGCGTCGCGTCGGATCTGTTCGCTTTTAAATTTACAACACGATCGGTTGATCTCATCAAGGACAGCACTTAATAATTATAAAACTCCAAAATATTATTTGTATAGCACGAGTGCGTGGTTTAATAAAAGATAAAAACTGTGGTCTTCGTTTTGCTGGTGTTACATAATAAAAAAAAAAAAAATGTGGATATTTATTGTCACTGGGGTACTAATGGTACTTGGCTACTGGGTACTGAGTCGGTGTTACAGCTATTGGACTAGGAAAGAAGTACCACAATTAAAACCTTTCTTTATCTTTGGAAACTTCTGGCCCATAATGTCGCGTAAACTATCACCTCCTGAATTCATAGAAAAACTGTACAACTCTACGAATCTAAGGCAAGTAAAACTGTGTATTATAAAAAATTCTTATTTAAATAAAATTCAGGTACATCGGCATATACCAGTCTCTTCGACCATATCTTCTAATAAGAGACCCAGAACTCATCAAGCAAATTACGGTAAAAGATTTTGACCATTTTTTGGATCATGTGGGTTTTGTAGATCCAGAAGCCGATCGCCTTTTTGGAAGGAATTTATTTTCACTTAAGGGGATGAAATGGAGGGAGATGAGATCCACTCTTAGCCCAGCTTTTACCAGCAACAAAATGAAATACATGTTTTCATTAATGTCGCAAAATGGACAACAATTTGTAAATCATTTCCTTGAAAAAAGTGAAGATGTAATTGAAGTGGAAATGAAAGACGTTACTTCACGGTTTGCAAATGACGTCATTGCTAATACTGTGTTTGGTTTTGAATCTGATTCTTTGAAAGAACCCAATAACGTGTTCTACACTATGGGAAAATTTGCGACTGATTTGACAAATTTGCGGACAATTATGGTGTTTCTAGGGTACGTGATACTGCCCAAACTTCTTAGAGTAAGATCAGTTTTGACTCAGTCAGTTTGAATTTTATAAGTAAGTAATTTATTTGTAGTTTTTCAAAGTGGCTTTCTTCCCTAAAAAAATGACGAACTTTTTTGGACGAATTATCAAAGAGAATATTGACAGCAGAGAAAAATACGGTGTCAAACGGTCTGATATGATTGGGTTGTTACTTGAGGCTAGGAAAAATAAACACAACGACGATGACCAAACTACTTTACCGGATACTGGATTTGCTACTGTAGAAGAATCAGAAGTTGGTAAAAACCAGAAATTGAGAAAGTATGACATAACAGACGAAGACATTACTGCTCAGGGTTTGGTATTCTTCTTTGCTGGATTCGAATCTGTTTCTTCACTTATGTGCTTTATGGCTTACGAATTAGGCGTCAATCAAGAAATACAACAGAAGCTTAGGAACGAAGTAGACGCCACGAACGAAAAATGTGACGGAAAAGTTACGTACGAAGCTTTAACTACAATGAAATACATGGACATGGTTGTATCAGGTAAGTATCATCATGATAATCGATTTTTCTTAATCTATGACTTGCAGAGTCCTTGAGAGAATATCCAAATGCCATAGCCACTGACAGAATCTGCACTAAATCTTACACGATCGAACCAAACACACCAGATGAGAAACCAGTTCATTTAAATAAAGGTGATAAGATATTTATACCGGTGTACGCAATTCAAAGAGATCCACAATACTATCCAGAACCAGAACGTTTCGATCCCGAACGCTTTAATGACGAAAACAAAAATAAAATTAAACCTTATACGTACTCTCCTTTTGGATCAGGACCACGAAATTGCATTGGTTCGAGATTTGCTTTGATGGAAATTAAGCTTCTTTTTTATAACATTCTGTCCAATTTTGAATTAATTCCAATTGAGAAAACACAAATTCCGATTCGCTATAGTAAGAAAGCCATAAATATGGCGCCTGAGAAAGGTTTTTGGCTGGGTCTTCAGCGTCGCGTAAAGTAACTAAAACATTTGATGGTTTTTATGTTAAAATGTGTTTGTCATTGTATAATGTCAAAAATCTGTATTCTGCATGTAAACACAGAAACATTTGTGTTAACATAAATTAGCGCTTGCGGTTTGTAATATAAATGTAGAACATTATAAAACACGATCATTTAATTTATTATACATTTTTAATGACTAGCCACATAGTGGCAACGTTGGTTCTTAAATGTTTTTTGAATAACGGCTGACACATGGTTTGATTACAAATTTAACATTGTGATATTTTTATCGTTGTTAACAAAACAGGATATGATCCATTGATAAATTTTATGTTAATTCGATAAAAAACTTTATTTCCGCCGCAACTTTAATACTTAAGATTTATCTCATGATAACGTCAGGTGATAACATGTAGGTACATCATTACAATCTCGTAAGGTGAGAATTTACCTGATTATGCTTTTTTTTCTAATATATATCTGTACATGTTTTTTAATTTTGTAATAATATTTTATTCTATTTTAGAACCATAATCTTATTTATAAGCACCCAAATGCGGGCTTAAATTGGCCTTTTTAGCACAAATCTGTCAAAAATTGCTAAGCAACAATTGATTGTTCATTTACACTAATCAATTAATTATTCAAACAGGCTTCGATATTCAACGTTTTTCTTAAGTTGGATAATAATATTTTATCAAATCATTACCTGACCGACTTCAAATTCTTCTAAACTTTCGTTTGAATAAAGGTTTTCCGCTTCTTTAATTTACATTTTGAAAAACGAATTATCAAATAATCAACGTGGTATCCATAACAACATCAAAATAATAGCCAGCTATGTATTAAAATTCGCATCGGCACAATTCACACAGTCTTGCCGAAAATATTCAATATTTCGTTAAAAATAGTTTAGAAACTAAAATAGAATAAAACGTTGTATGTACCACGTGCATAATTGTCGATTGTGGCACTCGGGAAATTAAAAGCCCTCCTTCGTCGGGCTTTAAACATTCCCTCGTGCCACAATCTCCTTGATTATGCCCTTAATACATAAATAACTATTATATGTCGATGCATAATTAGGCTAAAATTGTTTGGATTTGGTGATGCTTAATAATAATAGTATTTTAACAAAGCGAAACTAACATTTAAAAAGCTGTTAAAACTGTATACTATTAAATCATGAAGTCCAGGTAATTTTAGTAGAACTTTTGTGTTCTTCTGTTTAGGTAAAACATAAGTAAAGTATTATTTTTTGGGCGTTGTTTTTTTTTAATATTCCGCTCCTTATGGCTATTTTAGAAATATTTTTAATTTTTGTTGTAGAGAAATTTGTGTATCACAAAATAACACTTATTGTTTAAGTTCAACTTAATAATAATTATCTAGAAATGCAACTTACAAAATAAGAATTTATTAGAATTTTAATGTTATCGTAGTAACAATTTTAAGAAAATTTTTTTTGAACAATTACATGTATCAATGTAATCTGTATCTGTACTTGGTGTCAAAATCCTTCCAAAGTCTGCGCAAGACGGGCAAATTATGTTACTTCCTCTATCATTTCCCAAAAATTTTCGTCCACTACGGAATCTTACATCGATTTGGGCGTTCTTGTTACCTCCGATTTTTCCTGAAGCGAACATATCTTGCGGGTCACTGAGAACAAGTTTTTGCCAGAGCAAATCCGTCTGTATTTGGAAAACTTTTTAAAACAGATTCGTGAGACCGACACTGAAATTTGTCAGCAATTTTTGTACTCTTATCTCCTAAACGGGATATTTTACGCTTATCGGTCCAGCATAGGGCCATCAGAATTTCGTCCGGTAGAAACCGACCTCCATTTTACATTTAGACAAAGGCATTGTGGTGTCCCAGTCTGAATTAAGATTCGCGCTGAGAAAAAACAACGCCGCGAAACAGCATTTCAATAATTTGAATTTTAAAAATAAATAAGAAAATCGTTAAACATTGGCAACCATGTCCAGAGATCTTCAACTAATGTGGTAGACGGTCTAGATAACTAGTAAAAGTCTCTTTCTATTTTTCGGGCTTGTATTCGAACATTAATTCTCGACGGCGCCTCTTTAGAGTAAAAAAGAGCTGCTTCTGATTTTGATCGTATTGAATATGTGTTTTTTTGTTTGTATGTGATGTGGGGGTTTTGGTCCATGGGGTAATCGGGGAACGAATTTTGACATAATTAATAACGTGAAATAACTCTTGATCTAACATTGTGCTTTTTTTTGTGGTTGAAATTGTTGATATAGTGTGGTATAATTTAACATGATGCCAATTCATTCCATCAAAAATCAACAACAAAAGGAATGAGATGAAGTTCCTCGGTCAGTGTTAGGAAGGGGGATTTTAGTTCGAGTTTGTTTCTCAGATCCTTTTAATTTTGTTTCTTGTGGCCCTTCCGGTCTGGTGACGATTAAGTGGATGATACGATTAATTATGCAACAGACTTGCACCGCGAGGATTAGTGTTGTGGCTCAAAATACGATTTATCACGCTTTATGCAGTAGTCCGTTTTCTCTATTGCTAAATACAACTTCCTTGATGTTCTCATTGCTTTCTTTTGTTGGACTTTTGTTTTTTTTTTTGAGGGCATTTTTGTTTCTTGTCTATTGCCTTACCTGCTCCTATTTTTTTGCCAAATCCTTATTAAAATTGATGGATGCTTCCGAATTTCCTCCACCGTTCTCCGTTTCAAGTTTTTATCTGCTGTACGCGGTTCTCCACTTTTTGATTTTTCTTCGAGAGTACTGTAGTGTGCCGTTTCAAATTAAATTTAGGGCCAACAAAATAACATTTCAGTAAAGTGGACAACCTTCATGCTCTCTTAGATTTTTCCAAAAAGGTAGTGGGGATTTTTCGTTCTATTTTAGTGAGATTTGTTCTACTGCTAAATATTGCAGCGCTCTAAATGTTATTGAAACTGAAAACACGTGTTAGAGATTCAGTTATTCAGATTCAAAACACGTGTCAGAGATTCAGTTAGGGGAAAGTCCCCCTTATTAGACCAGTGCCTGAATTAAACCACCCTATTTTTTTAAAATCTAGAATAGTTGCGGACATCTAGTGCATATTTATTCGAAAGTATTTGGCACCAAAGCAGTGTTGTGCAAAATTCCATTCTGTAGCGGTAAGTGTTTGCTTGTTAAATTGCAAAGAAATTTTGCTACCATTGTGATACAACTTTTCGCATGTTTTTGTAAGGATATATAGCCTAAATTATTTCATAAATACAGTGCACAAAGACTACATTGGTCAAAGCGTAATAAAATTAAGAACCTAACCTAGAAATAAATATGTTTTATTTCGTTATTGCGTTTTAACACAAGAAAATAGTAAATTTTGTACCAGCGCGTAAATTGGACCACCTTAGATTCTCCTTATTTGGACCGGTCTAATTGAAGGAACTCCCGATTTGACCAATCACGTCACAGTATCTAGGCGCGTAATTTTAGAACTTCGTATTACAAAGCCCAATAATAAATTTTCTTGTTATAATCTATTAACTATGATTTTATACTAGATGGATTCGGAGATTTCACAATTGATGAGCACTCTAATCCAAACAATAAGACTGAAAAACAGCTGATTACTGAAGTAGAGAACAATACGAAACTAGAGACTGAGGAATTAAGACTTGATGATGAAACTGCCACTCTGCGTTATTACACACCTCTAGAAATTTCACCTATGCCCAAGATAATTAAGCAAACAACAAAAAGAAAAAGATAAAAAAAAAACAAAAACTACAATATTAACAACGACACCTTACAAGGAACAGTTGGAACAAAGAAAAAACAGAAGACTAAGAGCAAATTTGTTGATGAACTTAAAGAACCCAAAGCAGGTCCATCTGGTTTGCGTAAGGACAAAATACCAAATACAAAACAAGACGTTATTATAGAGGCCAATGTGCAAGAATGGTACTGCTTCCTCTGCGAGGAAACAACGCTGGAAGACATGATTCAGTGCAATGGATGCAAAAAATGGGTTCACGAAACATGTTCAGGAGCTGAATCGCGCACAAAGCGTTATTTATGTGATTATTGTACCTAATTATAACAGTATTGTTCAGTTTACATGTAGTTCTAAAACGTTTATTTTTGTTATTATTTTTTAAAATTTAATATTGTTTTTTTTCACATTTTAAATAAAATTATGTTCATTTCATGCATTTTTACCAAGAAGGTCCAATTTAAGAACCGGTGGTCCAATTCAAGAATGTAATGGTCCAATTTAGGAACCCAGTCTCCTATTTTGGACCACTTGCAGACCTTCAAAAATTATTTTTTTTAACCAATTTGGATGTTTCAAAAAATTCTAAAAAAATTACCAAACATTGAAAACATGTCAAAGTTAATGGCTCAACACTAGATAAGTTAATATCGTATTACATTTTGGTTTTAATTGAAAAAATGTCCCACTAGATCCGAATGAGGGGACTTTCCCCTATTCAGAATCAAATATTTCATTTGACCAGTAAAGTAAGGTTAGAATTTAGAATGCGCGGCAGTTCATAATTCAAAAATTCTACTATGGGTTTCTTATGGGAGCTTGATTTTACAGATCAAATACGCCGCATAGGTAGAAATCTTAACTAGTTCATGCTACAAGCGATAAAGACTGTACGATTATCTTCCTGTTACTAAAGGTTTAACTATATAAAAAGCTTCTGTTAAAGAAATATTGCAAATTAAAAACAGCTCTATTCCTCAAAGTAACGAACATCGTTTCTAACCTCTTGCGCATGAGTGAAACGGAAAATCCAGAAACCCTTGGGAAAGAAAAAGAACGCGAATATTTTGCGGTACTAGTGACGTTTAGATCGTGAAAATCCCCAAAATATGACAGTTGATTCAGAGAACACAGAGAAGCGTCATAGTTTAAATCAAATGACGGTTGAGGACTTCTCAATTTATGTTGGTAGCAGTGTTTGTTTCTATCTAGGAATAAAAATAACTAGAAGAAATGTCATAATATTTTTAACGACGCGTTTTATTTTCGACATATTGACACTAGATTTACCAGAATATTACAAACTGCTTACTGTTTCCTTCACTTTCATTCAGGTCACACGAATTACAATTATAGTGAAGCACGGTTTTTATTGGCATCGACTATTTAAATTTGGCGCTTGCCTTTGGCGGTTGGGGACTCCAATGGCAATAAGGGTGGTTTTGCAAAATCAGCCTCTATGTCGCTTCTCTATGTTCTCTGGTTGATTTCGTATTTTAATCACAACAAACAATCATAATCAATTTTTGGGTGATACTATTTACCAGTTTTTTTTTTGTTGACGATCGGAAATGCATTGTGAACGGAGAAAATTATTTGCATGCAGTCAAATAATGCAGTGAAAGTCACTTGGTATACTGAATTAAATGTGCTTGAAGAGTTTATTCGAGCTAGAATGCGAAATAGCCAATGGTAAGTTAATGTATATTGATAAATGCTGTATCAAGTACAATTATGAGGTATTTTGTTTTATTTTGCATAGATATTCCTTAAGAGAGGCAACATGTGAAACCATCACTGGTGAAACCACAAGAGGTGCATTTGTATGTCACCATATGGCTACACCTGCCCTACACGGACGTTATAATGTATGTATTTTGGACCAATAATTTGCGTTCTTTGGACGTACATCTGAAGAAAAGTGAATCAGCTGAGGTCAGAGCTGTGATCTCTGAAAATTCTTTTAATCCCCAAGTCAACCTAAAAACAGCTAATGTTGAGGTACAACTTCATGAAAGCTTATGACAAACTAATGGGAGCGAAGCACCACAGCGAAGCACTGGACTATTGGGCTCTAAACCAGAAAGATCTCAAGAAAATCTACTTCACAGTGTCGAAGAACTATTAGTGTCTGAGGACTATTTAAATGGACCATGAAGACGACAGTTTGTGGGCCAGTTTTTCACCAAAAGTGAATCAGATTTTGCATTAGGAAGTGCAATTTTTTATTATAGAATATTTTTTTTTTGTTTTGAAATAAATTGTTCTTTAAATTGTGATTTTTTTTAAATGGGCGTTTCAGACCCAATTCGTACTAAAATGAAAGTAATTTTTACTTGTACATGAAAGGTTTAATCAGGAATGCTAAGTTTTTCCTTTTCTAGCAAAAATGTGTAAAAAGAAAAAAGCTTGGGATTGATGATGATTCTTAAATCAAAATTTGGCAATTGATTGAAAACTCTCCTTTATGTATTATTTTAAATTCACAACCGTATCTGTAGCATGTGAAAATCACATTTATGTGGAGGGGGAACTCAATGGCAGTATGAACCACTGTACGACATACGTTCGAGGCAAATGTAGTGGTAAAAGTTGAATTTAAATATTTATTAAATACCACCGGTTCCGTTCATGTTTTGTGTCAAGATCAACAGTAAAAATATCAGTCTTCATGGTACAAGTAGTGGGATATATAAGAAAATTACTTTAATGGTAGAATTTAAGCGTTAAAATGACGCCTCGATTTCACCCATAAGGATTACACGGGGAACTGAAATACGGGCCTCGTGTTATGATCTGAGTTCAAATTTCGCGCGTCATTCACTTTACTGGTCAATTGTGATATGTCCAAAGAGCTGGGTGGTTTTTCTTAAATTGTTATTTAGCTTTAATAACTTCTCACTCTAGATTTTTGAAATAGCGAATTGCAGTATTAAAGATTTAATTTTAAACAATGATTTGCTTTGAAAGTTATCGGTTAAGTAAATGTCATCGTAAATTCGAAGAGGGAAAGGAGTTTTTATGCTGATTTTGTGTTGCCATTTACGACTTGAATTTTGAACATTTATTCTAGGACATTCCTATCACAGCGAAGTGTGTCCCGAATGACATTATTGTGACTATTTACTTGTTGTGGCCTTGTTAGCATTTTGATACTTGGTTATCAGTCTAAATTCCCAGAGCTGCGTAGGCAAAGCGAAATCCATGGACCCGAGCCTAAATTGTTAATTCGCCTACCGGATTTCGCCCCCATTGATTACGTCTCAGTATAAATTAGACCTCTCGCCCTCGTGCATTTAGAAAACATTTTATTGAAGATCACAGCCAATTTCCTTTTCTTTTTGCGGGTTTTCGAATTTTGTGCTTATGTCTAAGATTGGCGAAATATTTGAGTTGTCATATTACGATCTTCCAAAAATCTCACAGCTTTCGGAACGGTCCAATATTTGTACTGGTTTCTTTTGCCATTAAAAAATAAGATTTTGCATTATTTCTGCAAAATTTTTGATCTGAACGTTTTGATTCCATTGTTCGAAACTAATGGTGACAGTAAACAAGAAGCATTGGCATTTATTAAATCAAAGGTAACTTTTAAAATCGATGCATTTGAAAATTCTTTCTGATAGATGATAGGGATCAATCATGAAGTTGAGATAATTCTAGTGGAATCTTTGCAATTTTCTGCAACAGGCAAACCATAAGAAAAGAAAATGTTGGGGTGTACTCTTTTTAAATACACCACTGTTTGTCTGCTTTAGATACAATTTTTCATTTTACGAATATTACCCAAAGTAATTTTACTCGTTTACCCGTGCCTTCATACTCACCTTAAACTAGATGAGGAATATGGGTAATGTAATTGCTGGTACATTTCATGCAAAAATTCTCTAGCAATAAATAATAATTTGTTAGAAGATGCAAACACACAGATTTTCCGTTGCATTTGCTATTTATTGTAATTGTAAAAATTATTTTAAAGGTTGAGAACGATCAGCTAGGTACCGTTGGTAAAACACACTAAATTGAATAAACTGGTGAAAAAACGAATCATTATTATTGATTAGTGTAGTCTCGTGCGCATAGATGATTTTAATGAAGTTTCACACGTTTTCTTCAGTACATATAGTTCGAAAATCACCTCACGTAAGCGTCGTCTAAAAATAACGTAAAATATCTGAATCGTTCAAAAATGCTTTCAAACGCATGCTCTTTTTTCTAAACTGTATCATTACAGTCATCGTAGAACGTAAATATGAGTAATAAACTATTGCATATATTAGCATAAATAAATTTTATAATGTGTTTGGTTTGTTGTCGGCATGTAGCGTCGCGTCGTATCTATTCGCTTTTAAATGTTCAACACGATCAGTAAATCTATCAAGGACAACACTCACTAATAACTGGTTACTTTAATATTGTACGACACAGTGCGTTGTTTGGTGAAGATAAAATATAAAAACTGTAGATTTTGTTTTGGTTGGTGTTACATAATTTTTTTAAAAATGTGGATATTTATTGTCACTGGGGTACTAATGGTACTTGGCTACTGGATACTGAACCGGCGTCAGAACCACTGGACTAGGAAAGGTGTACCACAATTAAAACCAACCTTTATCTTTGGAAACTTCGGGCCTCTAGTTTTTCGCAAACTATCGCCTCCTGAACTTGTACAAAAAATGTACGACTCGGGCCAGGATCAAAGGCAAGTACAAATGTGTAACTAAAAAAAAATTACTTGAATATAAACCAGGTACTTCGGCATATACCAATTTCTTCGTCCAGGTCTTATGTTAAGAGATCCAGAACTCATCAAACAAATTACAGTCAAAGATTTTGAACATTTTTTGGACCATGTTGGTTTCATAGATCCCGAAGTCGACCCTCTTTTTGGTAAAAATTTGTTTGCGCTTCGTGGGATGCAATGGAGGGAGATGAGATCCACTCTTAGTCCAACTTTTACCAGTAGTAAAATGAAGTACATGTTTTCTTTAATGTCACAAAATGGAGAACACTTTGTAAAACACTTCCTTCAAAAAAATGAAGATGTAATTGAAGTAGAAATGAGAGACATTGCTTCAAGGTTTGCAAATGACGTTATAGCTAATACTGTGTTTGGTTTTGAATGTGACTCCCTTAAAGAAACCAATAACGAATTTTATACCATGGGAAAACTTGCTACTGATTTCACAAATTTACGAACAGTTTTGGTGTTCATGGGGAACGTCCTACTGCCCAAAATACTAAAAGTAAGATCAATTTTGTCTTCGGCAAATTTGTTAAGTATGTGATTTATTTGCAGTTTTTCAAAGTTACTTTCTTTCCTAAAAAAATGACGAGCTTTTTTGGACGAATAATCAAAGAGAATATTGAAAGTAGAGAAAAATACGGTGTCAAACGATCTGATATGATTGGATTGTTACTTGAAGCTAGAAAAAATAAACACAACGACGACGAACTCAGTAGCTTACCGGACACTGGTTTTGCTACAGTTCAGGAGTCAGAAATTGGTAAAAATCAAAAGCTGAGGAAGTGTGAAATAACGGATGAAGACATTACTGCTCAGGCTTTCGTATTCTTCTTTGCTGGATTTGATTCTGTTTCTACCCTTATGTGCTTCATAGCGTATGAATTAGCACTCAACCAAGAAATACAAGAGAAGCTTAGGAACGAAGTAGACGCTACGAACGAAAAATGTAGTGGACCAAACACGTATGAAGCTTTAATTACTATGAAATACATGGATATGGTCGTATCAGGTTAGTATTATTATTAGTAGTCTATTTTTCTTAATCTTAGATTTACAGAAACCTTGAGAAAATGGCCAAATGCCGTAGGTACTGACAGAATCTGTACTAAATCTTACACGATCGAGCCAAAAACGCCAAATGAGAAACCAGTTCATTTAGACAAAGGTGATATGATATTTATACCGGTGTTTGGAATTCAAAGAGATCCACAATACTATCCAGAGCCAGAACGCTTCGATCCCGAACGCTTCAATGACGAGAACAAACATAAAATCAAACCGTATACATTCTTCCCTTTTGGAACAGGACCACGAAATTGCATTGGCTCGAGATTTGCTTTAATGGAAGTTAAGCTTCTGTTTTACAATATTTTGTCAAATTTTGAAATAATTCCAATTGAGAAAACACAAATTCCGATTCGCTTCAATAGAAAATCCATAAATATGGCATCTGAGAAAGGTTTTTGGCTAGGACTTCAACGTCGCGTAAAGTAACTGACACATTTGATGATTTTTGTGTCAAAAAATTGTATTACTGTCAACATAAATTAATAGTAAGTGTGTGTATAATATTATAAAACAAAAAAATTGCATTTAATATATTTAACATCTACCAATACAGATTAAGAATGCTTCGTAAATGGAGAGTGAATAAAACTGAATCATGACTTGCTTACAAATTTGACACGATATTTTTGTTGTAGTTAATAACTGCAACAGTGCACGATCCGTTGACTAATTTCATATTTAATATTTATGTTGCTGCAACTACTATTTGATACTTTTAATAGTACCTAATTTTTATTCCACGATGACAGTACAGGCTGAGTCAGTTAAAAGGGACATCTCGAATAACTTTTTTATTTATTAACCGATAATATTAAATTTGTAAAAGGAGAATAGCAGCCTGCGTAAAAAAGTATACTGCAGGAATACCATTTATTTTTGAAATTTTGTTTTTTTTTATATATAAAAAAATGTCAAAAATTAGCTTAATTAGCTTCACTATTTAATATTCGTAAATTACTGCAATTGTTCGTACAAACATTAATTAATTTTCTGACCAATGTAAAATTTGGTAAAATGTTGGATTGGATTGTTTAGAAAAGCATAACAAATGAAATAAAGTCTCAAAAATAGTAAAAACGTGTTTAGAAAACAACGCGCAGAAAATGCTGTAAGAAAATATTATTTTACAAAAGTAAATAAAACGCATCTGAAATAATAAATATTGAACTTGGAAGAGTATTTTTTTCAATTTTACAATAAAATAAAAATTTGGATAAATTAAAAAAAATGTGACGATTGGTTTATAATTATTGAGCTTACTCTCAATTATTTCATGTTAATAAAGTGATGCATACATAGAACCCATTCGTCGTTATTTATAAACTAAACTCCATTAACATTGGTTCTCTTCGAAGTGCCCCTTTTTAGCTGACTCATCGTGTAGTTAATAGCATTTATATAACTATTAAGAATGACTGAAAAATAACCCTTAACCTTAAGATTTATCTGACGATTTTTCTAATATCTGTACACATTTTTTAATTTTGTAAAAATATTTTATATGAGAGAGACAATTGTTTGGATGTTGTGATATTTAATGTTAGTTAATTAGTTAGACCTAGATTTTTCCAAAGATGAAAGTGAAAGATGAACAAAAGAGTCCTTGCTCGTCTAACCTTGGTGATCTAAAACTGTTAAAACTACTTGTTAGAGCTGAATTCTGAAGTCCAAATAATTTTAGTAGAACTTTTGTAATCTTCTGTAGCAGGAAAACCAAAAATAAAGTATCTTTTGCATTGCCTGTCTATTTTTTTTATTTTATTCAGTAAATCAGACAAAAATATCAGCAATTTCGGAAAATACACCAAGTGATATACAAAGCGCAACACATAAGTTTGAATTATTTTTCTTAATCCTTTTGAGATGGTATTCAAATACTTTTTTTTGACATTATTTTTTAGTCGTATCAAGTCATTTTGAAGTATGGATACATATTTCATACAAAATATTTTTAAAAATGTATGGGGATTGAAGGGGGTAGTGGTACATATGTGTACTATCAGGTCTCTAAGATAATATGCATTTATTAAAATATTTTATAATATGGCCTATTATCATAGGTCAACTTTATCTCAGCATTTTTTTTTTATTTTTTTTATTATTACAGAGGAAACAACGTAAAACAACTTAACTATGATATTTGAAAACAATGTTTACACAGTGGTATTTCGCATTTTTGTTTTTGTTTGTACTTTATTTTTGAAATTCTGCCCTTTTTTTGATCGTTGAACTATTGCTATCTTAGACCCTTCTGCTGAAGGAACAAGAAAATGCAAAAATGGAACTTTATTTTTGTTCACTGCATTGGATAGTATCCAAGCGTTTACAGCCATGATCATCAACCTGTAGAAAACTTTGCGCCACTACTTTGTTGACTTACGATCTAATAATTAGACTCGAAGTTCACTTGTCAATACCAAAATATGGACTGACAAAATTAAGAATGAAACGGGTAAATGACAAAATGCTATCTGAAGAGTTAAATAAGGGAGAATTAAGGTAATTTTAAGCCGGATGCGCCCTATTCAATATACCAATAAACATAACGTCTACAGTTCGGATTAGGATGTCTTAAGCACTGATTTTTCCAGGTGAAGATTCTACCGAAATGTCAAGGTATTTGCTGAATAAAGGTGCAATTTGAAAATATTACAAAAATATGTATAAATATGCACTCGATTGGTAAATATGCAGTAAGATTGAAAAATATGGCCGGAAAAATCTTTGTTTCTGAATATAAATAGAAAATTCCAGTTTTCTAGCCAAATGGATGCGAACAAAAGGGTGCCGGTACACAAGGAGAATTATATTTCTGACATAAAAAGGTATCGATCGATAGCAACTTCCGGTAACACTGAAAATTACATTTACTATATATTTTTAAATGGAATACCCAGTATACAGGGTGATTTACGAGGAATAATGAGCCTAACAAATTTTTTTGATGCAGCCAATAATAAGTAGGTACTTGGCAGAGTTTAAGTTGATACAAAACTCCAATTTTAATAAATACTTATGTAAACATAGCGAGCATATATAAAAGTTTGTCATTTTGGGCATTAAAGTCATAAAAGACTCAAATTAATGAGTGAAATACCAACGAAAAAGATGTTTTAATAACGAAGTCAGCTAAGGAGATGTTCAAAATGCTGTCCACCACTTTTTTCGCATGCGTCAATGCGGTTGCAGAAAGCTCTTCTCACTCTATTCGATGTTCCATATCTTCTCTATTGTTTATAGGTGTTTGGTAAACACGATCATTGACCATTTTCCATAAAAAGTAATTCAGTGGAGTTGTATCAGGACTTCTAGGAAACACTAGTTAAGAACCATTAGGATAGTTACAGAAAAAAATAACTGTTCAGAGTATTGAAAACAACTCACGGGGAAATTCGTCAAGCGACCACTTCAAAATCAGACACTAACTGAACTTTGTGGCGAAAATTTTCAGATCTTCTGCTTCCAATGGAAGGAAAAGAGTAATGTGAAATTAACCCAGGTGGTAGTAGATAAATCTTTTTCGTACATTTGGCTTACAAACATCAAACATAAAATACACAATGTACAAGTAGAATTATTTGTATGACCATTTTAGTCTGCAAAAATTTTCCACAGTCAAACCATAAAAAATAGTATCACACTTTAAAATTTGCTCACCTGATACGTTTAGGTGCCACAGCAAAAACACTTCTACTATTTCTGAAATAAGAATCTGCTTGACTAAAATTAAATCTGCTTTCCTTAAATAATGAAATATATTTATTTATGTGCGTGCTTTCCATTTATTTGTTTGTATAATCACATATGACGGAATCGCATAAAGAGGTTTTTGATAATTAATTATTAATATTTTTTTCATTTACTTATCTTTTTCTAAGGATTTGACGAGAAACTGAACCAGAAACATGGCAAAATCTACTACGTCCATCGCTTCACAAACTCTCAAAACTAGTTTTCCATTATTATTATTTTATTTTTTGTACAATTTTTTTTTAAATAAACGAGGTAGTACGAAATTTGTAGGATCTGGAGTAGCGTTATGAAGACTGGTAAATTAAACAAAGTTCATTGTCACTGGCGTTGTATGTTAGCTACCAACAATGCATTGCGTTAGATATGGTGTTCGTTCACTTCTAAATTTCTGACACAATTATCAAACTTCATCAAGGACAGCATTGAATAACAGGTCAATTTGGGATTCGCACCATTCGGATGCGTGATCTTGTAAAAATAAAATTTGTGGTTCTAGTGCGGTGTAACGTAAGTCTTTGAAAAATGTGGATGTTTATTGTTGCCGCGGTACTAATGGTACTTGGTTACTGGAGGTTTAGCCGATCCCATAGTTACTGGATAAAAAAGGGAGTAACCCAATTAAAACCAATTTTTATCTTTGGAGATTTCTGGCCTTTATTTTCGCGCAAACTATCCGCCCCTGAAATGACACAAGCAATGTATAACTCTGGTCAAAATTTAAGGCAAGTACAACTTACATTTTAAAATTAAAATTATTATTTATTCAAATAAAAACAGGTACGTGGGCATATACCAGTTCCTTCAGCCCGTTCTTCTTTTGAGAGATCCAGAACTCATCAAACAAATCACAGTAAAAGATTTTGACCATTTTCTGGACCATATGACTCTTCTAGATTCAGATACCGATCCTCTCCTTGGTAAAAATTTAGCTTTACTTACTGGTATTCAATGGAGAGAGATGAGATGCACCCTCAGTCCGTCTTTTACCAGCCGCAAAATGAAGTATATGTTTTCCTTAATGTCACTAAACGCAAACCAGTTTGTAAACTATTTCTTGCAAAAAGATAAAGTAGTAATTGAGGTAGAAATGAAAGATGTTATTTCAAGATTTACAAATGACGTTATTGCTAGCACTGTGTTTGGTTTTGAATGCGATTCCTTGAAAGAACCCAACAACGAGTTTTATACAATGGGAAGGGCAACTACTGATTTTACAAATCTACGAACAATTCTGGTATTCATGGGTTACTTCTTAGCGCCCAAGCTACTTAAAGTAAGTGCACCTACCAAGGATTTAGTTTTTGAAACAAAAAATTTGGTTTCTAGTTCTTCAAAATCACGATGTTTTCTGATAAAATAAATAAATATTTTACAACAATAATTAAAGAAAATATTGAAAGCAGAGAAAAATACGGTTCCAAACGACCTGATATGATTGGTTTATTACTTGAAGCCAGAAGAAACAAACACAACGACGATGATCACACTCCTTTACCGGATACTGGTTTTGCTACGGTAGAAGAATCAGATATTGGTAAAAACGAAAAGTTGAGGAAGTGTGAAATAACAGATGAAGACATTACTGCTCAGGCTTTTGTATTCTTTATTGCTGGATTCGAAACTGTTTCTACCTTAATGTGTTTTATGTGTTACGAATTAGGTGTCAATCAAGGCGTACAAGAGAAACTTAGGAACGAAGTAGACGCCACTAAAAAAAAGTGTGGTGGAAAAATTACGTATGAAGCACTGACCACAATGAAGTATATGGATATGGTAGTATCAGGTTACTGTTATCATTATCATTAGTCTATTTTTCTTAAATCATAATTTACAGAGACCTTAAGAAAATGGCCAACTACTGTAGGTACTGATAGAATGTGCACTAAACCCTATACCCTTAAACCAAAAATAGCAGATGAGAAACCAGTTCATTTAGATCAAGGTACTGTGATAATGCTACCAGTTTATGGAATACATAGAGATCCACAATACTATCCAGAACCAGAACGGTTCGATCCCGAACGCTTCAGTGACGAGAACAAAAGTAAAATTACACCGTACACATTTTTTCCATTTGGATTAGGACCGAGGAACTGCATTGGTTCGAGATTTGCCTTATTGGAGACTAAGCTTCTTTTTTACTACACTCTGTCTAATTTTGAAATCATTCCAGTTGAGAAAACGCAAATCCCCCTTCGTTTTAATAGAAAGGCTATAACTATGTCTGCTGAGAAAGGTTTTTGGTTGGGCCTTCAACGCCGCGTAAATTAAAATTGTGAGTATATATAGACAATGTTCTATCACAAGAAACAACCAGCGTGAAACAATATTCTACAAGGAAAGTGTTTGTATCAAGACTAAGTATGACAATAATGAAATTCAAAATCTTGTAAAATTTTGTAGTTTTGCAAGACGTATCGGAGTTCATAAATTAATAGTCGGCTAGATATATCAAAGTAAAATGCCCCCAGTGTTAGTCTGTTGGATATTATTAGGCATCTATATAAAATTTTGTAAGTTAAGTATCAACCGAGAATTTTTTAAGATTTTCGGTTTTTAAGAAGATTGTTCAAATTCACATAAGTTTTATTGCAATAAATGTCACAATAAAGCAAATATGTCTCTCAGATTAATCATCAAACAACATGTTTTCTAAGCTTAAGAGCATATGTAGCTGTCATAAGTTTTAGCTTTAGAACAAACATCAATAAATAGATACATAACATCTTTTGAACGACCATACTCTTTGCATATGAAATACTCCTGCGGCTTATCCTCCAAAGGTTCACTCTCACCAAGTTCTGTGCACGATGGAATAGGATATTCGTCCTGCGGGCATACACCATTTTGCAGAACAATGTCGCAAAGTCCAATACCAATGTTGTAGCCAAGTCCTTGTTCGCACTGACTCGGGTAAGCTTTCAGCGTGTCTTTGGTTTGGACGCATAGAGAACAAACTTGTTGCAGTAAAGAGGATCCGGAAAAATACCCACAATGTCAAACAGACATGGAAAAGGCAAATCTGCGATACCATCGCAAAAGGGATCCTGTGCAGTAGTGCACTTATTCTTGATACATTTTTCTCCGTAGTTCACAAGTTTTCGTGTTCTGTTTTGTGTAAGTGTCGTCATCTTGGATACATGCCGCTAAACTACTGCAACTGTCGCAAAAAAGTCCATAAGTAGGGCAATTTTTGGGTTTTTCACAAGTTTTGGATAGAGCCGCGCTGTAGTCCATAAGGTTTTTGGCGTGGCAAAAGGCCAAAAACTGAAACGGAAAAATTGTTAGCTCCCATGTACAATATATGCATTAATGCACAACAGCGTTCACACTGACAACTATGACTAAATAAAAATACTGTTTTCCACTACAATCTATAGATATTGCACCATACGGTGATATCTCACTTTGGCCCACCCTTCCCTACATTTGTTGAGATATAATAACTTGTCATATACCTATCTATGTATATTAGAAACTTGTTTGACACTTACCCCAATGATAGCGAACCATATTTTCATTTTCACTTACGATTTATGCTTTGCTTGTTACAGAAATAATTTTTTTTTAATGTTTGCGGCTCTGCGGTGAGAGTCAAGTTTATATTGCAACCGTTGTGGTAGTACATATAACTTTTTGATAATTATTTGAAAAAATAAGAGGAAATGATGTTGAATTGTTTGATAGGGTATGGTTGTGAAAAATTCTTGCAATTTTTATGATGCATTAAGTTAAAGAAAAGGTATGTTATTGATTAAAATCTTAAGTGTTTAATCTTTAAAGCAGGAATATTCGTAAAAGCCGTTTTTCTTTTCTACAGAATTTTTTCCACTACTAGAACATTTTCTTTTTCGAATATTTTAAATTAATACCCATAATAATAATGGCGAAAAAGACATTTTAGGTTTAATACGTAAATATATTGACGATATTGACGGTGTCCTTCTTCTTATGTATAATGTTTACCCGATCGTGGAGCATAAAAGTATAAAAAATAGGTGTAAAGTTCAAAGGAGGATTAAAAAAGCCTGCGAGACTAACAAAAATTTAAGCGAAAACAATACAATCGATGGAAATGAGACTGATGGCACGTATGAAATGACCATTGACCCTAGTTTACTGCATAACGAACCGGCACCTAGTAAAATTTAAATGGTACTTCCATCTCAAATTTATATTAAATGATGGTTTTCGACTCGACAACTAAGAATGATTTCTCTTACCATTATTTTGTTCACCCAGTATTATATATAGCATCCTTAATGGCAAAGTAAGATGATTTTTGTGCTTCTGTCGATACATACGAGTACAAACCATCCATAATTTTGTTAACCGAAACGTGGTTGACCTCTTCAATAGCAGACTCTCTGGTTTCGCTTAAGGACTACTTAACAATCTTGAGAAATGACCGAATTGGGAAAAGAGGAGGTGGTGTCTGAAATACATTTCTGTATTTCATGTTATGTGATATTGTTATGGAAATTGAAAACACGTGTTAGAGATTCAGTTATTCAGACTCAAATATTTTAATTGTGATATGTCCAAAGCGCTGGATGGTTTTTCTTAAATTATTATTCAACTGTAATAACCTTTCATTCATTCGAGATTTTTGAAATAACAAATTGCAGTATTCAAGATTAAATTTTAAACATTGATTCGCTTTAAAAATTATCGGTTAAGTAAATATCATCGTGAATTCGAATAGGGAAAGGGGATTTTGTGTTAGCATTTATGTGTTCTACGACTTGAAGTTGCACATTTATTCTGGGACACTCTTCTCACAGCGAAGTGTCTTCCCAATGACATTATTGTGACTATTTACTTGTTGTGAGTGATTTATGTAATGGGGAACTCGGTTCTCGATGTAATAGTCTTGATGAATTATTTTTGGTTTATTTAAAAGTCGAGAACGATCAGTTATCGTTGATAAAATAGACTAAAGTGGATAAATTAATCATTATTGATTAGTGTAGTCTCGTGTGCATTGATGATTGTAATGAAGTTTCACACGTTTTCTTCAGTGTAGCTCGAAAATCACATCACGTAAGCGTCGTCTAAAAATAACGTAAAATATCTGAAACGTTCAAAAATACGCGCTGCTTAATTAACTGCTGTATTTGCATATATTAGCATAAATAAATTTTAAGTCATTGGAGTTGTGTTTGTTAGGTTGGCATGCAACGTCGCGTCGGATCCATTCGCTTTTAAATATACAACACGATCAGTAATCTATCAAGGACAACACACTCACTAATAATTACCTAAATTGATATTGTACGACACAGTGCGTTGTTTGGTGAACATAAAATATAAAAACTCTGGTTTTTGTTTTGGATGGTGTTACAATTTTTTTTAAAATGTGGATATTTATTGTCACTGGGGTGCTAATGGTATTTGGCTACTTGATACTCAACCGACGTCAAAACCACTGGACTAGGAAAGGTGTACCACAATTAAAACCAACGTTCATCTTCGGAAACTTCTGGCCTTTAATTGTTCGTAAACTATCATCTCCTGAACTTGTACAAAGAATGTACAACTCGGGCAAAGATCTAAGGTAAGTACAGCTGAATTTTATAAAAATATTTTTTTTTCACTAGCAGCCATGAAGCATGCAAATGTCAACTCATTTAGAGGTAGCAAATTCAACTTTTGCGACCACGGGTTTAAAAAGAAAAATTGAGGTTATGTACGAAATGCTTGATGTGATTATTTCTTAAAAAATGAATAACTGTGTGTTACTAACATTACTTGAGCATACGCATGGTAGTTGGTAGACGGCATAAGATAAAATGATTAATTCAGCGACAAGTATAAACGGTTTTCTTTGTGTTGAAGATTTAGATTAAGTTTGATTAGAAATCAAAACGAAATCATGTTGCGTCAAAAAATTGAACGTTCATTTTTTCAATTTATTGTCTTATGGTTTCTACTAGTGAAAAAAATAGTATATTAACCACGGTTGCAAAGCCACTTCTAGACCTCGCGCTTCAGAACCCTCGACGCTGCGCGTCTCGGGTTCTAATTTGCGCTCGGTCTAGAATGCTTGGCTTTGCAAGCTTGGCTAATAATATACTATTAAAATATGTATTAAACTAGGTATTTTGGCATATACCAATTTCTTCGACCAGCCCTTATGTTAAGAGATCCAGAACTCATCAAACAAATTACAGTAAAAGATTTTGAACATTTTTTGGATCATGTTGGTTTCATAGATCCAGAAGCCGACCCTCTTTTTGGCAAAAATTTATTTGCTCTTCGTGGGATGCAGTGGAGGGAGATGAGATCCACTCTTAGTCCAAGTTTTACTAGCAACAAAATGAAATACATGTTCTCATTAATGTCGCAAAATGGAGAACAATTTGTAAATCATTTCCTTCAAAAAAATGAAGATGTAATTGAGGTGGAAATGAAAGACGTTACTTCACGGTTTGCAAATGACGTTATAGCTAGTACTGTGTTTGGGTTTGAATGTGACTCCCTCAAAGAAACACATAACGAGTTTTATACCCTGGGAAAAGTTGCTACGGATTTCACAAATTTACGGACAGTTTTGGTGTTTATGGGGAACATCGTACTGCCCAAACTACTAAAAGTAAGATCAATTTTGACTTGAGAAATTTTGTTAAGCATCTAATTTATTTACAGTTTTTTAAAGTGGGTTTCTTCCCTAAAAAAATGACGAGCTTTTTTGAACGAATAATCAAAGAGAATATTGAAAGCAGAGAAAAACACGGTGTCAAACGATCTGATATGATTGAATTGTTACTTGAAGCTAGAAAAAATAAACACAACGATGACGACCACGGTGACTTACCGGATACTGGTTTTGCTACAGTTGAGGAGTCAGAAATTGGTAAAAATCAAAAGCTGAGAAAGTGTGAATTAACAGACGAAGATATTACTGCCCAGGCTTTCGTATTCTTCTTTGCTGGATTTGAAACTGTTTCTTCACTTAGTTGCTTTATAGCTTACGAATTAGCAGTCAACCAAGAAATACAAGAGAAGCTTAGGAACGAAGTAGACGCCACGAACGAAAAATGTAGTGAACAAATTACGTATGAAGCTTTAACTACGATGAAATATATGGACATGGTCGTATCAGGTCGGTATTATTATTACTAATCTATTTTTCTTAATCTATGATTTATAGAAACCTTGAGAAAATGGCCAAATGCCATAGCCACTGACAGAATCTGCACTAAATCTTACACGATCGAGCCAAAAACGCCAGATGAGAAACCAGTTCATTTAAACAAAGGTGATATGGTATTTATACCAGTGTATGGGATTCAACGAGATCCACAGTACTATCCAGAGCCAGAACGATTCGATCCCGAACGCTTCAGTGACGAGAACAAAAAGAAAATCAAACCGTATACATTCTTTCCTTTTGGATCGGGACCACGAAATTGCATTGGCTCGAGATTTGCTTTAATGGAAGTTAAGCTTCTCTTTTACAACATTTTGTCAAATTTTGAAATAATTGCAACTGAGAAAACACAAATTCCGATTCGCTTTAGTAAGAAAGCCATAAATATGGCATCTGAGAAAGGTTTTTGGCTAGGACTTCAACGTCGCGTAAAGTAACTGAAACATTTCATTATTTTTATGTCAAAAAATGTACGTCATTGTATGATGTCAAAAAATTATATTACTCTTAACCTAAATTAACAGTAAGCAGGTGTATGTAATATTATAAAACAGAAAAATTGCATTTATTATATTTTACATCTACCTATATAGATTAAGAATGCTTCGTAAATGGAGAGTGAATAAAATCTGAATCATGACTTACTTACAAATTTTGATACGCTATTTTTGTCGTAGTTAATAACTAGAACAATGCACGATTAGTTGACAAATTTCATTTTAAGTCTGTAACAGAAAGCTTTAATATGTTCCTGTAACTACTTATTTACTATTTGATATATTTTAATAATATCATATGTATTATTAGTATTATTACTACCCACGATGAGAGTACAGGGTAAGTCAGATGAAAGGGACATCTCAAATAACTTTTTTATTTATTAGCCAAAAGTAATTATATTAAATTTGCAAACGGAGAATAATAGTCCTCGTGAAAAGGTATATTGCAGGAATACTATTGGTTTTTAAGATTTTGTAGCTTTTTAGTTTTATTAGCTTCACTATTTAATATTCGTTGCTCGGTGCTGCAACTTTACGTAAAATTTGGTAAAAAGTTGGACTGGGTTGTTCAAAAAAGTAAAAAAAAAAAGAATGAAAAAAGTCATAAGAAAATATAATTTTACAAAAGTAAATAAAACGAATCAGAAGGAATAAACAGACTATTTTTGCTCAATTTTACAGTAAACTAAAAATTTGGATATTCTCTCTATTATTTCATGTTAATGAAGTGATGTATACATATACATACTCATTCATCGTTATTTATAAACTAAATTCCATTACGATTGGCTCATTAATAAAAAAGTTTTTCGAGATGTCCCTTTTTAGCTGACTCATCTTATAGTTAATAGCATTTACATAACAATTAATATAATAATGATTGCCAAAGGATCCTTGACGTTAAGATTTACCTGACGATACATTTTTTCTTTCCTTTTTCTAATATCTGTACACATTTTGTAATTTTGTAATAATATTTTATGTAGGTATGTAGCACATATAACGTGGCTACAATTGTTTGTGATATTTAATGTTACTTAGACGTAGATCTTTCTAAAAATGAAGGTGAAAGATGAACAAAGGAATCACTGCGCAACTAACCTTGGTTACCTAAAATTGTTAAAACTACTTGTTATAGCTGAATCATGAAGTCAAGCTAATTTTAGTAGAACTTTTGTAATCGTTTGTAGCGGTAAATCAGAAATAAAATATGTTTTGCATCTTTTTTTTAATGATTCCGCTGCCTGTCTATTTTTGTTATTTTATTCAATAAATCTGAAAAAATGTGAAAGGGTTGATATATTTTGCTTAACCCCTTCGAGACCGTTGTTTGATTTGGTTTTGTGACACTATTTTCTAGTGGTATTAAGTCATTTTGAAGTATTATCCATCCACGATCTTTATATAGTAAAGTAGGCTTTGATATTTTTTCTTTAAGTTGGATAAACTGATTTGATGATTTAGTTTTTTGTCTGTCAGTAGTCTGATTGACATTTGCTTTGAGCTGGATTGCCACTTTTCTACTTCATTTATTAGATCAGAATTATTAGACGCAATTTTTTAATCAAACAAACAAATGTTTTAATTTTCTCAGCATAGATAATTTATCATTGTGACAGATTCACAGATCATTGCGACATTATTTAAAAAGAAAATGCCGAAAATAATTTTACTGCAACAAAAAATTGCAATAAAAACATCTTTTTTGCAGTTTCGAAAAGACAGGCCCGATCTTTCTTTCGAAGAAGTAACTATGAGAGTCTCGAACATATTTTCTGTAACGTAAAAATACGTTTTAAAATATTTTAAAAATTGTGGCGAAAATTTTATCAACAGGGGACCAAAATGTAAAAACATCACTATCTGGCAAGGGAAAACCAACGGATTTATTTACAAATTATATGTTTCGGAAAGACCTGCAACGACAAATTTGGCAACTTAATGAAAAAAAAACGAATATTTCATTGTAGATACTCTTTGGCATATACTAGGGAGCAGTTGAAATTTGAAGGGGGGCGAACCACATTATACAAAATTCTTAAGTCAATGGGTTATAAACACAGGGGAGTAAATGGTCGCAAAATTCTATGTGAACAAAAACATGTCGTTGCAGCCAAAATTACTTTTTTGAGAACATATTTACAGTTTCAAAATTCTTGTGAAAATTTGAATTTCGTGTATTTGGATGAAACATGAATCTATCAAAATGGTTCGTCCATTCGTCGCTGGATGCACGATACTGATCTAAAAAGCAATCCCATCGGGGTTCTTGGATGGTTGTAACAATTTTTTAAATAAAAAAAATAACGATAGAAACTATCATAAAACAATGGACGGGCTCATTCCTGCTTTGGTAAAATTCAATTTTACGAAAATCTTTAAAAAATTATACGTCACAATGTTTATTTTAATACGTGCCCTCTATCTCAAAAACGATTGAGCGCATGAAAAAATGTTTCAAATAAAATTTGTCCCAAATTTTGTGTTCTACAAGTATGATAATAAATGTTAACATCATTGGAGCAATAGAAACCGAGATAATCGCAAAAAAACTGTTTTTCTTGACTTTTGACCTTGAATAACTTACGACGCAGACACGAGATTTTATGAGACTTTTGAGACAACTTTTAGAACGCCAAAATTAAGGTATATACAAAAATTCAGCTTATTATCTCTCATTCCGAGGTTGATCCCTTTTTTATGCTAAAATTTCACGTTCAGCAATTACTCCAGTTCTCAGCATTATTACCACCAGTCCCGTTTGTAAGACAGACATACGTATTTTGTTCGTTCAGTTGTTCCGAGTAGATGCCGGCTCCTGAATCACTATCTGTTTTGGCACCATCGACATAATAGTTATTTATGTATTAAGGGCATAATCAAGGAGATTGTGGCACGAGGGAATGTTTAAAGCCCGACGAAGGAGGGCTTTTAATTTCCCGAGTGCCACAATCGACAATTATGCACGTGGTACATACAACGTTTTATTCTATTTTAGTTTCTAAACTATTTTTAACGAAATATTGAATATTTTCGGCAAGACTGTGTGAATTGTGCCGATGCGAATTTTAATACATAGCTGGCTATTATTTTGATGTTGTTATGGATACCACGTTGATTATTTGATAATTCGTTTTTCAAAATGTAAATTAAAGAAGCGGAAAACCTTTATTCAAACGAAAGTTTAGAAGAATTTGAAGTCGGTCAGGTAATGATTTGATAAAATATTATTTTTCCAACTTAAGAAAAACGTTGAATATCGAAGCCTGTTTGAATAATTAATTGATTAGTGTAAATGAACAATCAATTGTTGCTTAGCAATTTTTGACAGATTTGTGCTAAAAAGGCCAATTTAAGCCCGCATTTGGGTGCTTATAAATAAGATTATGGTTCTAAAATAGAATAAATATCTATTATTTTATTAGGAGTTTAAGTGATACTTTATGTGGCGAGTATGGACGATTAAACGCCGAGCGATAGCGAGGCGAATTAAGTCCATACGAGTCACATGAAGTCACTTACACTCCGAATGAAATACAATATTTTATTTTCAAACGATGAATCTTCTTTTGAAGTGATTATTTCCTATCTTCTTGCTTCATTAAGGAATTGCCTTGATTTCACTTACGAGCCCTAACAACTAAATGTTCGGACACGTATTCTTTTATACAAAAAAATGTAATTTAATGAAAAAAAATGTATTTTACAAAAACAAAACTAGAGTAATATATAAGTAGGTATCTTTAATGCAATATTCTCAACAAAAATTGTAATATTATTAACTTAACAAAATTATAACACAACAAGAAGCTGGTATGAACGAATAAACTTGGCAACTAAATATTCGGACATGAGTATTTTTTTTTACTTAGTATGGTGTAACATCTCATTTTGCTTTGATTATTGCGCGTATCCTTGAAGGCATAGTACTTACAAGACTTCTGCATTATTCAGGAATAAAACTTGCCCAAACTTCGTCGATTTTTGCTTTTAAACCTAAGAGTGTTCGTTGGGGGTTGTTGCGCAAAACGGATTTTATGTCGTGCCAAAGTGTCTCAATGACATTTAAGTCAGGGCTGTTCTCAGGCCATGAAAGGACTCTTATATCATGATCCCCAAACCATTTCTTAGTACTTTTTGCGGTATGACATGATGCACCGTCCTGTTGAAAAATATAATCGTTGTCCGGATACAGTTTTTCAACAGACGGCAACAAACTGTTTTCTAAAATTTGTTGCTATTTCATGACGTTAATAGTCGTTTCCACCAATTCATAATTCCCCAACCCTTTAGCTGACATGCATCCCCACACCATTATTCCTCTAGGAAACTTTACAGTTCGTTTTAAACAGTCTTTATTGAACGCTTCACTTTTTGATCTTATCACTCTCCTCCGCAAATCTCCCACGCACACATCAAATTTTGACTCGTCACTAAAAATGACCTTTGACCAATCTTCCATGGTCCATGCCAGCTTAGACTTTGCCCAGTTGTACCTATTTTTCTTTTGATTTGCCGTTATTAAAGGTTTTTCTTTGGCCTGTAACGGCACGGTGGAACAAATGTAAACCAAAAACTTAAAAATTACCTTATAAAAACTTAATCCTGACTTGTGAATCCATTTCCTACAACATTCTCGTGACAGCTTATGCCCTATTTCATCCGTCCATTGTGCTGTTATGTCCCGCAATGTGTTTCTTCGATTTTTTTTACAAAGTTTTACAAGGAGCCTTTGACTTCTTTCTGAAACTAATTTCGGTCTTCCTGAACTTTTTCCTTTAACGTCTAGTCCACCAGTTTCGCGATAATGTGAGATTATATCCGCTACAGTGGACTTTGCTAAATTCAGTTCTTCACTAATTTCCCGAATTTTTTTACCTTCACGTCCACGAACCATTTTGTTAAAGAATATATATATTTTTCTATGGATCTTACAACACAGTTAGGTAAAGCAGGAAGAGGAGAATGATATTTATTAACAATCAAACAATTCACACCGTCTACTTAGTGAAAATTAATTTTTTTATTTATTTGTCCGAATAATTAGTTGCCAAAGTGTATTCACTTTTTCTGAAAAATCCACAGTCATAGTTGAATTAAAATGCTATGTAAAGTAAAACATTCAACTTTTTTATTAAAAGCTATTCTTTGAAATCTTAGCTTCCTATTTTTATGTGATTTGATAATAAAAATTAAAAATTAATTCATAAAGAGTGGTTTTTGAACGCTCCGGTTAGTTTGTCCGAACATTTAGTTGTTAGGGCTCGTACCATGGTTACTATCAGAGCTGTTCAAAGTACTCAAAGAAAGTACTTGAAGTACCAAGTACAAAGTACTACTTGAAATAGTGTTCAAGTAAAGTACCAAGTACTTACTTTCAGCAAGAGTATTTCAAGTATCAAGTACTTTTCAGATGTACTTGAAGTACAAGCCAAGTACATTACTTCAAGTACTTACGAGTACTTGAAGTACTGGAGGTATACTTCAAGTACTTACAAATACTTGAAGTACTGAAAATGCTCCAAGTACTTTCTAATTATTTGAAATACTGTAGAACTAGATAACTTTTCCTGTTTTTTTAAAAAAGCTTAATATAAATATTTTAGAACTGAATATTTTAATACTCAGAATTTAAGTATACAATAATACATATTTCGCCACATAAAAAATTGCATAAGCATCAACTTAAATGCAGAATGGTAGTTCACTTATTAATAATACTATGTTCTTTATAAACAATATTCTTTTGAAATACTTTTACATCTTTCTGTTGACACAATGCCTTCGACAAAATTAACGTCTATTTCTAATTTAAAATTTAAAATAAAATACATGACGGCGTTGCTTATGTATGCTTACTATTAATTTATAACAAAAACATCGGCGCTGTATGGTATTTTCTCAGGCTTCTGTTGCCTTTTTTTAATATTTTGAATTTTGGTTCACCACCAAAACGTTCTGATTTTTTAATAAAGTTGTGTTAAAAAGATATGAATTTTATGAACCGGTTCCGTGTTTAAGTTTGTGGGTAGTTTACAGCACCCTTAATAATTACCCATTGTGAAAGTGCACAGGGCCGGATTTGTGAAACTGAAATTTTTCAGAAAAAAATTTTAAGAGCAGTGCGATGCATATACATGCTCGTGACATAAAAATGTTTAAGTCACTGTGTTGCATTTTCAAAAAAAACGTATGAATTTTTTAAATAAAAAATAAAATGCC